TCCAAAACAAAACTCCTGCAATTTGTCCATTTCTGTGCAGAGCAAGAAAAACCAATAAACTGAAATGTGTGTCCGCAGGTGTGGTGCAGGCGTGGTGAAACACGATTCTTGGCTAGTACAATTGCCAGCCAAGGATCGTTTGTTGTTTTTTTGAGGATTGTCTTCGATGAAGAAGACGATGGCCAGTAATAACCAGGGGAAATTGATTCTGGGTTGAAGCGAAAGACAGGCAATTTTGGTAGTTTGCTCGATTTCGATCCTGTCGTTCGCTCCCCATTTTCAATTTGGTCCTCTCATATTTGAATATTATCCATTTACCCCTTTTATATGCAATTTTGGCTCCTCTTTCTTTGAAATTTCTCGATTGAGCTCCTTTATTTTTTAATTCCAGTCCTTGGGTTTTCAATTGCTTCAACTGTATCCTCCGTTATTTCAATTTTTAGTCTTGATTTTATTCAATCATGACCCTAATTAATTATGCCACGAAATTTTTGGATTTTTTATATTTTTAATTCTTTTCCCTTTTTTTTTTTGTAGTAAATTACAAAATAAAATAGAATGAAAATAAAATAAGATGTAAATAAAACAAATAAAAGAGGATAACAAGGGATTAAAAAAATGGAGAAAATCTGGATTATGACAAGATGGCTAGCAGTATCATGATGCATATGTACCACGATGAAGGCTATTTCATGATAACCAGGTAGACCATTATATTAGAGATGATGTAAAAACTATTGACTTGTATATATATATAAATTAAAAAAAAAAAACAAATTAACCTAACGAGAAAGAGAACAAACCACTGCTTGGAAACTTTAGTTTCGTAATTTAATAAAATTGAGTGATTAATAAAACGTCAATTGCATGACATCACGTAATTTAATAAATAAATAAAATCTTATTGATGACAGTATATTAAGTAGGAAGTGGTAACCAGCCGGCCTGTAGACACCGGTAGGCTTGGGCCTTAAAAATTTAAAATGGGCTAGTGGATGGCTTTTCTGAACATAATCGCCCCATACTGCGGCCTAATTAAGTTTGAAACTCAGTCCATCACCCACCTTAGTCGTGAAGGCTGGCCCAAGACAAAAAAAGAGTAAATAAAGTTGGAGTGAATTGATTTTAAGGTAAGGACTGATGGGATGTTACGGATCATTTTCGAAATCATTAGAATAAGCACGTGGGCAAGTTTAGTTGGGGCTAAATCACATTTATAAGATTGACTTCATAATATGAGCTTTGGACTTTCAAGACATTCAGAGTTTGAATTTTTTTTTTTTTTTTTTTTCTTGTAGCTGTCAAAACATTTATGCATGTTTTTTCGATTCCAAAAATGTAGGAGACTTGAAATCTCCGATTTAATACTAATGTATATCTATAAAAAATGATTGACGGATGGTCAGTTTCGAATAATAAAAAAATTATATTTATAAAATTAAGGGCTAAGTTCAAATATGAAGAGGTTGTTTACTGAATACGAGGATTCAAATGTCAATGACAGAAACCAAAGAAGAAAAATATGCAGCTAACCCCTCGTCTTTTCTATGGTCGATGGAAGGAAAATCTACAGCGAAAATTACGGTTAAATTACTGCTGTTAGTGCTTTTGGTTGACTACAACTATTACAACTAAATTTTACAGCAATAAAATTTCTTTAAAATATAGGAAGTATAATTTTAAAGGATTTAATGTTCAAATTCTTGACTAATTTTAAATGATTCAATGTTCAAATTCTTGACTACATCTTTAAGAAAAACTAGCAGGTTCATCAGTGCTCAACATGTATATTAATTGTATTTGATTAACATAAAAGTGATTTTGAACCTTATTTTTTATGTATTAAAATAAGTTTGAGTTTTCATTGGCTGACAAATAGTTGTAAGTAAATAATATTGAAAACACTCCTCTCAAAATATTGGCATTCAATCTTTTAGCATATGGTAAAATCCTAATGCTTGGATAAAAAGAAAAAAGGCGATACCTATGGAGATGTGAATGAGCAATTTACCCCCCAACCTTTGACTGTCCAACTCCAATATTGATTCACTAATTTCAAATCATTCTTCAATTTTATAAAATTTCAATGCCAATCATCAAAAAATATTTTAATTATGTCACTAGATATATGTTTTCTTAACTTCAACAAGGAATCAATTGCAATCAGCAAAACTATAAGGATGGAAATGAATTATTTTTAAACTCGTTCGAACTTTTACTGAAAATTTTTTGGCATCTTCTTCCACCGTGCACAACGCCAGTCCATAGCCGGATTGACACCCGTTAGGCCACCAAATCATCCAAAGATCACCAAAACAATCATTCTCATCTAATTCCAAACAACATTATCGCATTAAAAGGCATTTTTAAATTTGAATGAAACACAAAAGTTCAAATTTTTAGTTTTTAAATACAAAATTTATAAATCTTGATACATAGAATTTATATATATATCAATAAAACTCTTGCTGACCATTAGACTTTTCAATATTTGATTTGATGGTGGTTTCGTCATTAGTGCTGGCTGGATGGGGAGGACCAATTTTATCTCTCCTCTATCTTTGCTTTTTTTTTTCCCTTTTGTTTTTAATTTCTGTATTAATTTCTCAATATATTTTCCGTTCTTTCTCCTTTATTATATTTATTTATTTTTAAATGGTGAGTACTGAATTTGAGTGTTTTATCAATGGTTAAGATTACATCATTTAACAAAAATATGGATGCTAATGTTTCACATGTGAGAAATATTGTCAATCACTTTTCCTTTTTTTTTTTTTTTTATCAAACTTTTCCCTGAAAATAAAGCATTTTGTGTTATTCCTAATAATGATAAAAGATTTCATGTAAAAGCAGTCTCGTGGAAAAGGAAATAAAATGAAATCTCAGACCATAAAATAACATTAAATTTGGCAATTGTTCTGATTCATTGAAGCATTTTGAGCTTTATTGATGTTGTGGGTAACATTTTGTTTTTTTCCCATACCCGAATTTTTCTCTACTCAGTTGAGTCATTTAGGTTATTCAGGTTTTTTTTTTTTTTTTTTTAATACCTATTATCCATTAACGTTTATTTTATCTAAATTTTTATAAAGATTACAATTACCTAGTCAAAATTATACCAAAAAAATTTTTGACAAAACATTTCAGGCTCAAACAAAATTACAAGGTCCTTATTTTTAAAAATTTAAAAAAATAATTTAAAATGTATAATTCAGATAACTTTTTTTTTAATAGTGTTCGATCCTAGAGATGAACATTGGATTGTCAAAACTTAGCTATTAATGTAAATTGATAGAAATTTTAGTTTTAAGATTGTCTTGGAATTATACCAAATTTAAGGACTTATTTGTAGTAATTGAAAAGGATATTGTAGCTAAATTTTGAGGCAACTGGTTTGTCTCAACTCACCTGTATAATGTGACAAGCAAGATTATGGGCATTAGGATTGAATTTTTCCATTTCTAGAGGAATGGACTTGACAGCAATATTTATTTTAGTTTTTGCTTGATAGATATTTTTTAGTAACAAAAAGGCTTTCATAAATCTCTCCAATATTATAACATTTAATCAAACTTTTGACAAGTTTTTAATTAATTATTAGGTAAATTATATTAGACACCATGTAGTTTAAACATAAAAATACTTTATATTCTATATTTTCGTAAATTATATTTTACATCCTATACATTTATCGACAAACTTTCAGGATAGGAAGAGCAAAAATCCAAAAATACCTTTATATATATAATTAACACCCGAGTACTAGCTAAATATATTCTCTCCTATTCCCACCCTACTGAGAGCTAAGTATTTTCGCACTACTCCTACTCAAGTTTTTTCTCTCCTATCTTCATTTTCTGAGAGAGAAAGCTTATGAATTGTCTTGAAAAAAGAAAAAAAAACACTTGTCTTCCATGTTCTCAGGTTGATTAAAGGTTATTATGATTGTTTGCAGTTGAATTGAAGACAAATCGAAACTGAATAGAAAGTATGTGAAAGCCTAAGGCCAATGTCTGAATTTTTTAAACAAAAATGTTTTTAAAGCATAAAATATTTGGATTAACTTAATGTTTATAGAATCCCAAACAAAACCCTTAAAAAATAATGTATTTTTAAGTTGTGTTTTGAAATTTTCAAAAAAGAAACTCTAATTTTTAAATGTTGGTTTTTTTTATTCAAAATTGATTGATTATGCTGTTATTGGTTGTGGAGCAAAACCCCTAAAAACTATTTTGTTCTTCTGTATGTCTGTATCTATATAGTCAAAAACGAAAATTCTCCATACGAGAATGGCATCTGACATGATCAAAACCAGATTCTTAATTGATTGTTTTAGACTCTATTGTGTTGGATCATTTGGTATGCTGGGATAGAGTGTTACTACTGTGATAGAAGTTGCCATGTGTGATTTGAATAATTCGTTTGACTTTCGGAGTTCCTATCTTTATTTCCTTTTTAGTACCAATTTGTTGCAATAAGAACTGCAGGTGTTCTGCAATTTTAAATATTATATAGCCTTGTCGAAGCGGTCACAAGTTTCATCTCAAACGATTTTTTTTAAAAAAAGATATAAATGATTTTAAATGGCATTCTGACCGTTATCAAATTTTAACAGCAAACATGTAATTATTTGAATATTTGTTAGTTGGAGACTTGTTTTTATTAATGAAATCAAATACAAAGTATTTTCTAAAATATCATTTTTAACATATAAAGTATAAAGTGTATAATTTATAACTATATAAGGTGCAAAGAGTTTCTACAATATTGAATTTATAACTTGTTTAAAATAGTTTACCCATTTTATTAATTAGCGGCATAAGGTAGCTATAACCTATAGAGGAGGGTAAACCTCCTTCCAAACATGCCATTACTACAACAACAAACTCGAAAAATTAAAGGAGCAAATGTGTGAATTATGTTATTAGACATGTCGAAATGACGCACGATCGCAAAGATATGGATACCTCGAACTTCGTGCCCAAAAGATCGATGCACCCTTATATTTGTGGCGGTGGACTTGTCCATTGATACGTGGGAGGAGTTTTCCATTGAACAAATCTGTTGATTATTGGAGGAGGCGGTGATGGAATTTGCCTCCCTAGTCTTCTAGCTAGCTCCATCTTTCCTTCAGCAGACAGATGCTTATCGTAATCAATTTTAACCATGCCCTTTCCACGAGGATTGTCCAGTGCGAGCTCCTTCACTTTGAAGCCTGTGCATGGTTTGATTGTTTTGCATCATCACAGCAAGAGTTATCATAAGCATTAGCAAGCAAGAAAGAAACCTTGGGATTCAAAAGAGGGTATAAAGTTTCTATACCTTGCAGCATTTCTTGTGCGTGTTTGTCATTTGACGGCATCTTTCCTTGTGGATACGTAGCTGCCTTCAACTTGGGAAAATTCCAATTCATATGGGAAACTGCTTGTGATTTGTCCGTAATTAATCTGCTAGATGCATCAGCAGTGTAACTGGTATGCTGGGATGTTAGTCCATGAATTAACATGAACACAAACAAGCATGGGATCATTGGGACTATAGCCATAGCATGTGGTTCCAAATTTGATTTCGTACTGTTTAACGTGCCAATGACTATCGAGCTCAATTTATGAATTCCTGGACTGATGACTTCTTAAACCAGTTAGCCTTGTCCTGGTCGTTGCCTCCAAATTCGGCTTTCTCGAAGCACGTAAGAAGTTTCAAAGCAAAGATGGTAGAATTTTGTGCACCAAATTTCTCAATTTTCAACCCCCCTTCCCCCCAAGAAAATAATAATAATAAAAAAAACTGAGAGAAGACTTTCAAAAGCGAGTGGATGCAAGCTAGTCAACTGGTTAAGAAAATAATGATGATGATGTGATTCCCATCCGAAGTCTCAAATGGATTTTTTTGCCATGAAATAAGATTCGATGGAGCAACGTTAAGGTGTATGTTCAACTAGGAAGTGAATTCACTTTCCATGATCCCATCTTATATTAGAATCCAAAACAAATGGTTAAGAAAGAAATTTGAGATATAACTTTTGCTTAATCATCTTGTTAGTGTAATATCAATTGTTTGAAATTATTTAATTCTTTCTGCAAAGCTTCCAGACAAATTAAGTTTTATAATCCTGCGCCAATAAAGTTAGTTTTAAGTCATTTGCCTTGCCTGATGGATTTTGAACATCAAAATTTTATCCGCGTCAAGCTATCGCATACATACATACATACATACATACATACATACATATATAGTCTTCATTGTATTCTTTTATTACTTTTAAATTTAAAATCATTCACATACATTTAGTTTTTATCTTAATCTTATTTCTTTGTTAATTTTTCAATTAACGATGCTAATTAAATTTTTTATGCCTTAATCTCATCCCTTTATTCGATTTCTTTTTTTTTATGATTTTAAATAAATAATTTTTGGAAAATTAATAAAAATATATTGGAAAAAAAGTGAAGATATATCTAGTCATTCTCTTTAAAAATTAAAAATAAAATAAAATAAAATAGTTGAAGCTAAAAGTTTTTTTTAATCCAAAATATCCTATATAGTTTTAGATGTGTCTCTATGATAGTAAGCAAAATTTAAGTATAAAATAAGATATTATAGTATTTTTTTAATATGTCTCTATGATAGTGTAAGCAATTTTTTTAATATAAAATCAAATATTTATAGGAATTTTTCTAAATATGTAGAGAGTTTTATTTTAATTTTTAATTTTTTAAACGGTATTTATAATTTTATAATATCTCAAACAAGTCTATTATAATTTACTTATTTTAATTTTATAAAATTTTTAATTAGATTTAAAAAATGGGAATCTAATTTTTTGTTAATGTTAAAAAATACTATAAATATTTTATTTTATATTTAAAATTTGCTTAATATCATAGAAATAAAATTTAAAATATAAAGGATATTTTGGATGAAAAAAAATATTTTTAGTTTCACCTTTTTTTTTCAAATTTTAGAAAGAATGACCAGATATTTCTTCATCTTTTTTTCTATTTTTTATTTTTCAAAATTCATTTATTTAAATTTGATTAAAAAACAAGATTAAGTAGGAAAATAAAGTCGAGGGTTGAAATTAAAATAGGAAAAAACAATTTAACATCGTTAATCTAAAAGTTAATGAAGGAACAAGATTAAGATAGAAAATAAACATATAAAGATGAACTTATGATGAAAGAAGAATAGAAGAACACGGTAATAACAAAAGTAAAAGTAAAAAGACCTTTGCAATCATTAATCCATTTGTTCTTCAATGAAAAAAATATGAACCTTAGAGACTGATCCATTCATTATTATCAGAGACAATTTTTGCCAAGACTCATTTCGTTTTATTCAAAGGCCTTTGCAATCATCAATCCATTTGTTCTTCAATGAAAAAAATATAAACCTTAGAGACTGATCCATTCATTATTATCAGAGACAATTTTTGCCAAGACTCATTTCGTTTTATTCAAAGGGATACTTCGTTGTAAGCCTCGTTACTCCAGTATTCATGTTGTTATTTAATTATTAATTTTACTATAAGAATATCATCGTGCTAATTTACATGTGAATTGAGATTAAATTTATTTTCAAGCAATCTTAAGGATACACTCTTTATATCAATATGATGTATTTAGAAAAAATTAATAATTTTTTTTAAATAATGATCTTAAAGTTTGAATTTTAAAAATTAAAGAAGAAAATAAATCTTCTGAACCACCAAATCAACCCTTATTTTTCCTACTTTAATTTATCTGGATTCGCATGTGATTTTAGTTGAATTAGCTCATAAAATTATTGGGCCCTTTTCTCACTTTATTTGTTGTTATTCACTTCGATAAGTTTGAACCTTGAATCTTTAATCAAACATTACCAACGAAAGCAGGCAAAAAAGCAGAGATTTTTTTATGTACTGTAATAAACTGTGTGGCAACAAGTTATATTTTTTTTAGCATTAATTGACAAGTGGATTCTTGGAAAATGATAAATTTTGCTAGCTAAGTAATTTTCGTAGAAGAGGAAATCTTGTTATGAATTGCTTGGTGGTGTTAACATGTATACTTTATCTGAAAAGCTAGAAATGTAAGAGTTCGGGGAAAACTGATACTATTCTAAAAAATATCATTCTTGGTTTGCAAGAGGTTTAAAGGAACTAAACTATTGAAAATATTATTTTATATTTCATTTTTTTATAGCATAGTAAGAGATGTATTCTCTAGTAAATTTTTATATCAACTAAAACTAAATTATCATTTTATAGACTAAGTCAGTATCAAATCATGTCTAATCATGAGTCAATTCAACATATTAGACTTTTTGAACTCATCAGCAGCCAATAAATTGTGCCTAAAAAAGAAGATGAAGGAGATTTCTAAAAATAAAAATCAAATCCTTAAATTGATGAATCGGAAATAGATCCTCTTACATATTTCACCTATAACCTTTAATAGTTATTAAATAATCATCTTAATCTAAAAAGTTAAACTATTGAATAAGGTTTTATAATATTTTTTATATTATTCCCTAAGATACCACATCAAATATAAACCTTTTAGATTTGAAACTTATGAAACTTGCACAAATCAACAATTAATTAGTTAGAAGAGAAAGTTGGAGAGATAAGACTTATACGCTCGATCATTTAGTTAACAAAGTTTTAATATCATGTCAACGAAATATTTTAACCCAAAAGGCTGAGCTATTAGTGAGACTCTATAATAATTTTATACTACTCTTTAATACATTTCCTAAATAAATAAATAAATAAATAAGCTATTTGAACTTGACACTTATATATATCCACCATACCTTATTCTTAATTATTTAATTTTAATTAGAAGAGAAAGCGAGGATAATAGGATTAGAACTTATAACTACTTAGTAAAAAAAAATTTGATACCATATCAAATAACCATCTAAATCCAACAATTTAAGTCGTTAAATGAGGCCTCTAAAATGGTTTTATATTAACACTTTAACGACAAAATATAGAAATATAAAATATAGAGAATTTGTCATTTATCATAAGACTTAAGCATTATGAATGAAATTTAATTTTAACTATTAAATTTAATATAGTATTAGAGTCTAAATAAGGTTTAATGGTTAAATAAAAATTTTAAAGCCTAAATCACTTAACAAATTCTAAAAATATATATTGTAAACAAGAGAGAGTGTTAGAAAGACTATCCTCCATGGAATAACTATAAAAAGTTAAAGTAACATTAAGGATATTGAATTCGCAACCAACCATAAGGCTTGAGAAAGACTTAACGTTCTCATTATTTTATTGGTGACAAAATAACAATCCAACGGAGTTGAATGGATGACAATATAATGGCAACGGGGCAATGCATGTGAAATTATTAATGGCACGAATGACTATAATGCCATCGGTGGTGGTGGTGAAAGTCGATGGCGTGGATTCCTATTGGCCGGAGGAGTGTCATAATGACGAAATGTGTTGGGATTTGGAGAAGGTGGTGTCGGCCTCCCGAGTCTTCTATCTGGCTTCACCATTTCATCTGCAGAGAAATGCTTAGTGGAAGCAATTTTAACAGTGCCCGACTGACGATCACTGCTGTCAAGAGCAAGGATGATTTTGATGCCTGTGCTTGGTTGATATATTTGATGGTATCCTGGTCGTGTTCCTGCATATCAGTTGGATTAGATATTGTTGATGGTTGATTAATTTTCGTACTTGCAAAATTAAAGAAGAGGATAAAGTTTGATACCTTCCAATTTTTCCTTCGTATATTTGCCATTTCCTCTCAACTTTTCCAGTGGGTATGCAGACTTCAATTTGTGAGCAAAATTCCAGTTCCTACTAGAAGTTGTTTCCAGTGCCGCCTGCTGATCAGCCGTGTCATAGGCCTGAACCACACTACTAGTGGGAGGGCATAGCATTATCAGTCCATGAAGTAACAGGAGCACGATCAAGTTTAGAATTTTACTCATTTGGGAATTGATATAAAGATATAATATGGAGTCCGAAAACCTATTTCGACTTATTTATGCATTCTTGGTGTGTGAATTAATGATTCATTTATTCATTAATGGGAACCTAAATCCTCAAAGTAAACCATTCTTGGTGGTTGAATGGCTGCAAAAATTCAACATTGCGGCCGACACAGCATATGCAGGAAGTTTCTAGGAAAAAGATGATTATATTTCAGCTCCTCCAACTTTCCCATTTTCAACATTGTAGTTACTCATTTTCTTTCCCCCAAATATTAGTTTCTTTTGTTCCTTCCATAAATAGCCAGGGAGTTCATTGTCATCAGCTTGTATTACCAATATAAATATCTCCCATTGAGTGGTGCTACGTGAAATCAGTGGTATAAAAAAAAATCATCATAATTTTATAAGGATAGTGTTTTTTTAAAAAATACAAGAAATAATATTTTATTTCAATAAATATTATGTCATTTAATATTTTTATTTTTTAAATTTATCCTTAAATTTTTTTTATTTTTTAAAATGATGTCTACCACCGTAGCAGTATGAAGTATTTTTCTATTTAAAAAGTTGGAAAACTTTTTTCCGTATACCGAGAACTTAATTAGTAAAGAAGTGACAATTATATCATAATAAATTCTAACAGAAACCTAGACACAACAAGTCCAAATAATTAAAACTTCAGAAAGTAACCCAGTATAAACAAAGAATATCCAAATAAAGCATACACGTCAGTATTGAATTTAGCTACAAAAACTAAATTCAAAATATGTGCCTCAGAAACTTATATCCGCTGTAAAAATCATAAAGATCGTCATTAGTTTTAAACAATGACGATGCGTTACTTCCTCACTGCTTGGGTCCTTTTTTAGTGGAGACCAAGTCCTTAGATGGCATAAGATTAGTCATTGTCAAAAAAGCGTTTGCTGGAATGCTGAAATAGCTAGCCCAACTTGCCTCTATTATTGTTACAAAACTCAAGTCATACTTTCAACAGCGAATCAGTAGCACCGTTTGGAGTTGACTAGCAAGTTATCAAATTGATTTGCCTAATATTTTGCCAATTTCTTGTTGATATGTTCAAAGGTAATTACGCAGGATATCAAAACATTTCTTTAAGTTAATTTTTATTTATTATCCATTTATGATATAGAACACTTTTTCAATAAAAATAAATTAGTTTTTTATTGAATAATAGAATTTACAGAGTTTAAAAATTAATATTAGTAATTAACACAAACAAGTTTAGTCTAGTCATTATGTGCCTAGTTAATTTTCTCAGTAAAGTAAGATTAGAATCCTAATAAATTTTTTTTTTTTTTTTGTGATGATATAATGAGAAAATACTACTCTTAATGTGTAGCTAAATATATATATATTTTTTTGTGATGATATAATGAGAAAAGACTACACCTATTGTGTAGCTAAAAAATCCATAGTACTCCGATTAATAAAAAAATAAATTTAATAATTTAACATAATGAATTAAATTCAAAATTGGAGAGGCATATCATTAATTCATGTTTATAACAACTGCGTAATTATTTGAAGATTATTTTCAACTTTGGATTTTAGTTGGGCACCAATTAGAAGGCCAAAGATTTTTTAGCTAAGTTCAAATTTAAAGAAGTTTGGAAGTGACGGCCAAAATGTAAATAACACAAATTGCGAAAAGCATCTCCAGCTATGGCCTTATTTTATCCCTATAAAAAATAAAAAATGGTTCCCTTATTTTCTGTGATTGGCGAGAGGAGAGAGAAACAGATAAAAAAAAAGCTAGATTTTTATTGGATTTGAGACTTAGCAATAGAAAAGGATGAAATACATATCTTGCCGTAACAAGGATTAAAAAAATATATTGTACATACGATCCAAAATTCATGCGCCAGTAGGTGACAATGGTGGCGGCGGGGGCGTTAACAGTGGTGATATAGGTAGTGGCGGTGGCGGACTGGCGCCATACGTGGGTGGAATGACCCACCTCCAACGACCCAATCTATTGGGTTTTGGAGGAGGTGGTGATGGAATTGACCTCCGGAGTCTCCTTCCTTTCTCCACCTTTACTTCGGTGGAGAAATGCTTGGTGGAAGCGATTTTAACCGTACCCATTTCAAGACTGCGGTCCGACACTAAGGCCATTGCTTTGCAGCCTATGCTTGGCTGATGGTATAGCAAAATCACAGCAAGAATCACTAGGAGAAGCAGGAAACAACAAACCTTCATTTTCATTTTATCGAATGGAGGACCCTAAAGACTCGAACCTTTTGCATTTATTACGTGTCTAGGTTCTCAGCTAGTGACGAAGCTGGAGCAATTTCCAAGGGAGGCAAATAAATAGATTGAACATAATGACATGGAGCCTCAGGGTGGTAAGATGACGTGATTATAAATTTAATTAATAATGAGGTAGTTAATCATTATGGATTTAATGCGAGCGTTCTTCATTTCGAGTTTTGCCTCATTGACTGTCAACTTAAATAGAGTCTTTGACTTAATTATATATTATATTGTTAAATAATATTTAAGTTTTTAATTTATTTTTAATTATAAATAAGTTTTTAAATTGAAATGCTACTAATTGAAATATATTTATATATAAAAAAAGATTTTAAAGACTTTAAAAACAAAACAGGTAGATTGTGTAATTTTATGTGATTTTTTTTCATTTCAATCAATGACATTTTGGTTACAAAATTTGCTCATGATCATAAGAATAGATTGAATACTCAAATAATATTTAATATAATAAATGTAATTAGAAACGTATCACTAAATTGAAAATTCAAGTTATTATATAAGTCAAGTTATCTTTATCTCTCTATCTCTCTCGTCATAACCCAATTTTGAGTTCCTTTAAAGGAAAAAAAACAAAAAAGGAAAAAAAAATATCTCCCTAAAATCATTCAAAATTATGTTAAAATCTTCCACAAATCTTTTTAAATTGGTATCTCTTTATTTTTAGCTAATCAAATCTCAAAATTAAGATTTGACAATTAAAATTGATTTTGGGAGAGATTTTAGGAGGTTTCGACCTATAAAAAGCTTTCGGGTTTCAATTTGCAAGGGGGAAGAAAAAAAGTTAGGAGTGAGGAAGGATTCGAGGGTTGAGAGGGATTGAAAATCGAAAGCAAAAGGCTTAATTTTTTTAATTTTTTTATTTTTTAGTCACCGCATTTTTTTTGGGTTTCGTTCTTCGTCGTCTTGGTGTGTTCATCGGCTAAGATTACTTCCCGTTATCCCTAACTTCTACAAAGCTTAATTCCCGAATCTTGAGTACTACCCAAACATCCACATTCATCAAAGTCATGAAGAAATTTCAACATCTCCACCCAAGCCACAAGTTTGCCCAGGTTTGATTTAAATTTTATCAGTCTCTATTTTTTGTATTTTTACTTCGCCAACCCTTTAATTAGTCACTTGAATTGTTGTTAATTTGTATTCTAGTTTAGATCTTAGGCTTTAGTTCAATTGAATAAGCGAATTTCATGTCATCTACCATCACAAAAAAAAAGAGGGAAGAAGGATTCGGGGTTGAGAGGGATTGAAAATCGAAAGCAAAAGGCTTAATTTTTTTATTTTTTTATTTTTTAGTCACTCGCATTTTTTTGGGTTTCGTTCTTCGTTGTCTTGGTGTATTCATCGGCTAAGATTGCTTCTCGTTATCCCCGACTTCTACAAGGCTTAATTCCCGAATCTTGAGTACTACCCAAACATCTTCATTCATCAAAGTCATTAAGAAATTTCAACATCTCCACCCAAGCCACAAGTTTGTCCAGGTTTGATTTAAATTTTATCGGTCTCTATTTTTTGTATTTTTGCTTCGCCAACCCTTTAATTAGTCACTTGAATTGTTGTTAATTTGTATTCTAGTTTAGATCTTAGGCTTTAGTTCAATTGAATAAGCGAATTTCATGTCATCTACCATCACAAAAAAAAAGAAGGAACTCAAAACTGAAACGAAAATTGAAAAATAAGAGCATGACATGAAGAACGGCGTGAAATAAAAAGAGAGAAAGGGGATCACGAGTTAAGGTCTATGCTTTGATCTAAAAAAGTGAGAAATTGGGCTTGTTTATGTGAAACCCAGTCGGACTTAATTAAAGGGAGGGCTGGACTAAATTTAGTCCAACCCATGCTCCTTCGTGGCGAGCAAGTAAAAATAAAAAAGGGAGAAGGTTGAAATCATTCCAGCCTTCTCCCAAAAAAAAAATAATAAATAAATAAATAAATAAGGGAGAAGGCTGAAATCATTCCAGCCTTCTCCCAAAAGAAAAAATAAATAAAACAAAAATGAGAGAGGTCTGGTCCAATAATTTTGACGAAGTCTCCTATCTAATAGGAACCGACGTCACCAAAAAACATATTCAAAATTTTCGATGAAGTCTCCTATTTGATAGGAACTAATGTCACCAAAGAATTACCTTTTAATTAGGACGTCCTCCGACACGTCGGTTGTGTCAAGGATTTTAGTGGATCCGATGTTTGAACCGACATGTCACTCGACGAGGGGACCGACGATCGTTTCAATATGATGCCACGCCCAAAAATTAAAAATTCAATTTTTTTTTTAAATATAGGAGTTTAGAAATCAAAAAATAATTTGATATTTTAGGAGATGAATTCACAACAAAACCATATATGGTATCTTTTTTTAAAAATGGCATTTTTAGGTGATTAAGTATCTTCCTAAAAGCGTAACCAACTCCTTAGCTTAAGAATCTCCGGACCGAGTGGCTATTTTAGGTTCCTAGTTTCTTAAATACTAGGTGGCGACTCCAAAACTCTATAAATAATTTTTTTATAAATAATTAACACGTAGACTTAATTTTTTTGGAGGGTCCCGTCCGATGTCGTGTAGCAACACTCTCCAAACCTTGAATGCATTTATATTTTGACAAAAATCTAATTTTGATAGTGTATGGATGAGAACAAATTACATGTAATAAATCTATTAGAAAAAAATACATTTAAAATACAAATTGCATAAACTTAAATTTCGTTTATGTATCATTAAACTTTGATTTAGGCTTGCAAGCCCAACAAGTTAAAGAAATCTTTTTGTCGATAAGTTTTTATTTAAGAATCAATGTATAAAGAAAATCGAATCATATATTTTAACTATAAAATTTATAAAAGAAAAATAAGAAAGAATAAATTAAAAATTAGATTGATTTTTTATATATTTAATTCAATATATTTTAATTGACCCATTGTACAAGTACAAACTATCAAATTAAAATAATTTTTTAAATAATTTTATCTCGTTAATTTTATCTAGCTCACTATGTAGCATGGATAACTAATACATGTCTCAAATATATGTATGTGTATATTCCGAGATCGTTGTCATCCTTTTTATGGATTGAAATTCTTGCAAAATTAAACTAGTCCTAGTCAATATATTCATGGCTCAATTAAAGTCAAATGGGTTGCCCATAGTGGTGAGAACTAATTGGTTTAAACTAGAAAAAAAAATCAAATTGAAGGTTTTGGTTTCGTTAATTTTTATCAGTTTTTCTATTTTTAAGTTTTTTAATCAAATTGAATTGAATTTGTTTTTTGTTTTTTATTTTTTATTCATTTTGTAATAACCCGACCTAAAATAATATTTAATTTAAAGAAAGAGGGGTCTAAAAATCGAGGCGATACTGTCGCCCCTCCATCTTTTTTTTTCTTCTCTCTCACGCGACTTTCTCTCCATATTTTCTTTCAATTCTCTCTTTTAAATCCTAAGCTTAAACCTTATTAAATTAGCTTAGAAAAACCATAAACAAGTAGATTTAAGTGGAGCTTAGGTAGAGTGAAGCTTGGAGAGTAGGATTGAATTGAGGATTGGAGAGCGAAGTGTCAAAAGTAAGATTTTTGATAATTTGATCTTTCAATTAAAATGTTTATATGTAGTTATTGATGGTTTTGAACTTAAACTACATTGGGTTATTTTTTGAATGAAGAGTTGATTAGATTAATGGTAGGGTTTTGAAATCCATTTAGAGAAAATGTTAATTGAGTGATTATAGGTGATTAAATGATGTTTAATTGCTTTGGATAAGTGGTTTATGAAGTTAATTTGAAAAAACCTTATTAAAGGATTTAAGTGGAGCTAAAACCTTATTAAATTAGCTTAGAAAAACCACAAACAAGTAGATTTAAGTGGAGCTTAGTTAGATTGAAGCTTGGAAAGCTTAGAGCGTAGGATTAAGCAAAGTGTCAAAAGTAAGATTTTTTATCATTTGTTCCTTCAATTGAAATGTTGATATGTAGTTATTAATGGTTTTAAAGTTAAACTACATTGGGTTATTTTTTGAATGAAGATTTGATTAGATTAATCGTAGGGTTTTGAAATCCATTTAGAGAAAAGGTTAATTAAGTGATTATAAGTGATTAAATTGTGTTTAATTGCTTTGGATAAGTGGTCTATGAAGTTAATTTGAAGTGGAATGGAGTGAATTTGATTAATTAAAAGGTTGAAAATGATGAATAGTGAAAATCTGAAAATTTAGTTTTGAATTGAAAAGAATTTAAGGAAAATGGAGAATTAAGTTATATAAATATAATTAAAGATGAATGGAATGAGCATTGAGTGAATTAGAACGAAATTGATGATTTAATTAAAAAAATTGATTGTTTAAAGGTTTGAATTGAATTCGATAAAAGATGATATATATATATATATATATATATATATATATATATGAAGATTGATTGAATTGAGAATTAATGATGGGATATTATTAAGCAATTGTTTAGAATTACTTGGAGAGATTATAGATTCTAGTTAAGTTTATTGGTTCAAGTCCTTCCGATCAATTCTATTTTTATAAATAATCTTGAATTCCTATTCCAAGAATAATTCATTTATTTTAAATTTTTATTTAATATATGATATTAACATTTGTTCCATCATCATGTGTTGTTAGATTCTTCGGAGCGGGCGACTCTATGTCAATGACCTTGATTTTGTTCGATTCTCCGTTTGTACTTGTAAGTGGATATTATATAACTCTGTTATGTTTTTAAATTCCTTTGATTATGTTTATCATGCATCATTCGTTTAAGTACGATTTAATCATATTCCTTATAATTTAGACGGGAACGATACTCTTATGTGTTTAAAATGATTACGTATCAAAAGTATTTGATATGATTTGAAAAGGGATTTGAACAAGTGTTTTGTTTATGATTTGATATAAAATTACAGATTTAAATGTTAATTTACTTCCAACTCGTTATTTGATTATCCGTATAATTTTTTTATAAATGTTTATTTGATATGAAATTGTACTACCAAATATGATTTTAGCATACATTGTTATATACATTTCTTAGAACTTAGGCAGAGAACGTACTCTTATGTGTTTAAATTGATTGCGTATCAAAAATGTTTGATGTGATTTAAAAAGGGATTTGAACAAGTGTTTTGTTTATGGTTTGGTATGGAATTACATATTTAAATGCTAATTTACTTCTAAATATTATTTGATTATCCGTATAATTTTTTTATAAATGTTTATTTGATATGAAATTATACTATCAAATATGATTTGAGCATGCATTGTTATATATATATATATATATATATTGGATTTGAATATGTATAAGTTTATACTATTTTCGAAATATTTTCAAGACTCGACGAACGAACCTAGCTATGGGAGGTGTAGCTTTTGAGCTCGATAATATGAAGCTCCGGCTATCGGGATAGATAAAGTTATAGTCCGTGTTTCAATCAATATACTAAAACCTAGTCACGAGGGGCGTGACCTTTAGGTATTCATATCCGACGATACGTTATATTCACCTCAAAGGTAAAAAAACCTAGATATATGATTTAATTTAATTATAATATGTGTGTGTGTGTGTGTGTGTGGATATGAATTTGTTTTGAACCAATTAAGCTACAATATACGATTTGGTTTTGTGATATGCATTTGTTTTGGAGAAACTGTATCGCATCTTGAGTTGAATTTTAAGTTATCATCCTTAATTCATTTTCCTTCTTTAGACGTGTTATATAATATCTACTCACCGAACCATTGATTTGCTCACCCTCGACTATTTCGGCTTTGCGGGGTTTGTGAGGGTGCCTTTTTAGCTTTCAATCGGTTGATTGTCTTGAAGACGGCACATTGATTGTGTGACTCATTTAATTGTAATCTCTTAGAATTTATATTGGATTTTGTTATATTCTTAGAAGCTCGCGAGTTAGATTGGACGATAGAATTTACGGAGTTTAAAAATAAATATTAATAACTCAAAAAAGTTTAGTTTAGTCATTATGTACCAAGTTAATTTTCTTAGTAAAGTAAGATTTGAATCCTAATATATATATATATATATTTTTTGTGTTTGTGATTATATAACGAGAAAAGACTACTTTTATTTGTAGCTCAAGAATCCATAGACTTTCTATGAATAAAAAATAAAATTACTAATTTAATATAATGAATTAAAAATTCAAAAATGGAAAGGCATATCATTAATTCATGGTTATAACAACTGCGTAATTATTTGAAGTTAATCTTAAACTTTGTATTTTAGTTGGGGATCGATTAGAAGGCCAAAGATTTTTTAGCTAGGTTCAAATTTAAAGAAGTTTGGAAGTGAGGACTAAAATGTAAATAACACAAATTGCGAAAAGCATCTCCAGCTATAGCCTTATTTTATCCCTATAAAAAATAAAAAATGGTTCCCTTATTTTCTGTGATTGGCGAGAGGAGAGAAAAACAGATAAAAGAAAAAAAAGCTAGATTTTTATTGGATTTGTGACTTAGCGATAGAGAGAAGGATGAAATACATATCTTGCCGTAACAAGGATTAAAAAAATATATTGTACATACGATCCAAAATTCATGCGCCAGTAGGTGACAATGGTGGCGGCGGGGGCGGTAACAATGGTGGTATAGGTAGTGGCGGTGGAGGACTGGCGCCATGCTTGGGTGGAAACAACCAGCTCCGAAGTCTATTGGGTTTTGGAGGAGGTGGTGATGGAATTGACCTCCGGAGTCTCCTTCCTTTCTCCACCTTTACTTCGGTGGAGAAATGCTTGTTAGAAGCGATTTTAACCGTACCCATTTCAAGACTGCGGTCCGACACTAAGGCCATTGCTTTGTATGCTATGCTTGGCTGATGGTATAGCAAAATCACAGCAAGAATCATTAGGAGAAGCAGGAAACAACAAACCTTCATTTTCATTTTATCGAATGGAGGACCCTAAAGACTCGAAACTTTTGCATTTATTACGTGTCTAGGTTCTCAGCTAGTGACGAAGCTGGAGCAATTTTCAAGGGAGGCAAATAAATAGATTGAACATAATGACATGGAGCCTCAGGGTGGTAAGATGACGTGATTATAAATTTAATTAATAATGAGGTAGTTAATCACTATGGATTTAATGTGAGCGTTGTTCATTTCGAGTTTTGCCTCATTGAGTGTCAACTTAGATAGAGTCTTTGACTTAATTATATATTATATTGTTGAATAATATTTAAGTTTTTAATTATAAATAAGTTTTTAAATCGAAATGCTACTAATTGAAATGTATTTATATATAAAAAAAGATTTTAAAGACTTTAAAAACAAAACAGGTAGACCATGTAATTTTATATGATTTTTTTTTTCATTTCAACCAATGACATTTTGGTTAAAAAATTTGCTCATAATCAGAAAAACAGATTGAATGCTAAAATAATATTTAATATAATACATGTAATTAGAAATGTAACAACAAATTATTGAAAATTCAAGTTATTATATAAATCAAATTATCTTTATTTCTCTCTGTCCGGCTCTCCAAACCATGAATGCATTTATATTTTGACAAAAATCTAATTTTCATAGTGTATGGATGAGAACAAAATTACATGCCATAAATCTATTAGAAAAAAACTAGTTGGATACCCACGTTGTGCTTGCGGGCGGATAACCGTTACATATATAAGGTTAACAATTCGTATATTGTAATGTGAATAAAAAGTTTTATTTTTTATGATTAATATAAATCGAATCTATATATAGTTAATTTTTAACAAAACTAATGTATATATATATATATATATATATATAGTAAAATTAAAAGAAAAAACCACCTAAATTGTAGTAATATATCGAAGTCAATAGATTAAAAATAAAAACTACAACAAAATTGGTTCGATAAATTCTGAATAAATATATATAAAAAAGCAAATAAAACTTATGAACCTTTTTAACTCATTGTTATTTTTTAAAAAAATTGAGCCAAATTATCTAAAACATATGTTTAGCTCTCTCTTTGTGTGTGTGTGTGTGTGTGTGTGTGTGTGTGTATAAGTAAAACACTCATTTAAAAATATAAAAATAATTTATTGTGTAAATTATAATAATATATTTTTTAAAAATAAAACATTGACGTTCTAATTTTTTATTCCAAAATTCATATATTAAAAAACCAAATTTATTAACAAATAAAATTATATCAAAAAATTAAAAAAAATTAATTTAATGAGAATTTTAATAAGAAATAAATAAAGAAATAAATTTTAAGCAATAAGAATAAAATAATCGGATATGTATGTTAACATCAATATCAAAGATATAATTGATATTGGTCCAAGGACATTAAAAGTACCAATAATATATATGTCTTCTTTTCCGGTGAAGGGACCAATTATATATGATCGATTAACTTGTATAGCACTTATGCTATGACAATAGGTATATTCTTTTAAGAGTTTCTTTTTGCCTCTTGGTGATTCAATCCCAAAACACATCAAGATTTAAAATAATTAGCCAATTTTTTTTTTTTTTGTTCTATCATGAGATTGATGGCCGGACTTTTAAAAATATAAAATAAATTATATGAAGAAAAAAAAGAGCAAGGTCGCTCCTAGTTGGTGGGTGTGTGTGTCTATATATATATATATATATATATATAACTCACTTAAATTATATGAAATATATCGAAGAGAATAGATTTAAATAAAAACTACAATAAAATTGGTTTAAATAAATTCTGATTATATATTTATATATAACCAAATAAAACGAGTGAATTTTTTAAATAATTATTAAATTTTTTTAAAAAATTCAAGTCAAATTATTTTAAACACACTTTTTGCTCTTTCTCTCTCATTATAATTTATATAAGCAACACCACCATTTTCATATAAAAATTATAAAAATAATTAATCGTATAAATTATAATAATATATCTTAAAAAATAAAACAATCATGTTCTAAAATTTTATTTCAAAAATCTTTTATATATATATATTAAAAAATTAAAAAAGAAAGGACAAACTAAATCTCAACAACCCAACCCATTAAAAAAAAAAAAGATGCCAGTCGAGGAAAAAAAGTTAAAAAAGCTACATTAATAAGACTGTGAAAGATGCTACAGTAATGAGACTATGAAGGATCATTTTAGCAGCTTAGGTCTTTAAGAAAAAGAAAAGAAAAAAAAAAAAGCCAAGGGGAAAAAAAAGGGGGGTGGTTAAGAAAAGAAATTATGGATGGCAGTATCCCTGCCATAACAAGTCTTTGCCGCTGGACAAAAACTGCCGAACCAACACAACGGTAAGAACATAAAATCGTGCTTTCCATTGCTGCCTATGTTTTTTGATTAAACTGATGTACATAGGCTGTAGAAACTATTGTGTGTGTCTTCTGTTTATACAAAAGAATATTGGAAGACTTTTTGTAGCAACAGTAAACAAATCTGTTTTCCTTGTAATTCATTAAATTTGAGGAGCTAACAAAAAATCAATCCTTGTACGAAACAAGTTCTTGGTTAGAGTGGGAGTTTTGTCCCCCTTTCTTCCAACCAAAAGCAAATAAACACTCCCCTCTTGTACACTTGCTTCTATTTATTGTTTCAAGACTTTTGAAGTCAACTTGTTGCCAACTGTGAAATGGTTGGAGTTGGGTAACTCACTTATTACGATTTGGTTGTCAAGAACTTAATTTTGACTAAGGAAGCGGCTACAGATCTGAAAATACACTCAAAATTCCAATTTTGAAATGATTTTTTGAGTTTGAGTACGAGGTTGACAATAACGAGAATGGTGGAAATGAATCTAGTGATCTTCTAAAATTGTGGAGAAGGAATAATGCCACTACTTCGTGATTTATGCGAAGGCTTATTTAATTAGTTTTCCTCATGGAAACCAGAAGGAAGGATTAATTAAAAACTGTTGATAAGCTGGACGAACGGTTGACTGATGGAAAAATTAGATCTGGAGGTTGATTATTAATGAACTAGGTTAGTCCTATGAAAATTACTTGCAAGAGCTTATTGAACTTATTTTTATCATGTAAAGTTTTTTACAAGTTTGTTTTGGAAAAATCTGGACCCTTTCTTATTTGGATAAACAGGAAGGAGCTAGGATGTAAGAGAAATAATTTTTTTTTATTTGAATTGAAAAGAGGATGAAAATTAATAAATATTAAATATAATTAATACCCTTTTAGTTGGAGGAAATTAAATAGATGAAATGATAAATAGTATTGTAAGGGTTTACTTCTTAAAATGATAAAATTGAGTTTTTAAAAAAAGAAATAAAGTTAAATAGTAAGTTAATATTAAAAAAAAATTATAAAGCTATTTATTTCCCCCACATTACCCATAATCTTAGGGTGAAACTTTGAAGGAAAATGATGTTCTTACACCATGGCCCTATAAACCACAATTGCTTGAGTGATTTGTTCTAAAGAAACTAATTTTAGCAGGTGGTTCCTCTGATCAATGAACGTCACATCCCAACTTCTAAAAGACTAATCTTGAAAAATGAAAATACAAATAAACAATTTTTTATAGGTAATAGATTGCGGATCCAAAACTGCAAAAATTAATTCAATCGTTTTCTTCAAATAACTGCTTTCTCTTGCACTATTATGCTTTCGACTTGAGAACAATTGGCATGTGAATGATACTCACTCACATGGCATATGATATTTGTATTGGAGAATATATATTTTATATTAGTATGCATACGCTTTTATTGATTTTTTTATTTAAGTGTTTCTAGCTTTATTTTTACTAATTAGTGTTGGACCAACTATATTTTATATCAGTATGCATACGCTTTTATTATATTTTTTTATTTAAGTGTTTCTAGTTTTATTTTTACTAATTGAGTGTGCGATCTTTCAATAGTTTTGTAATCAAGTGCTCTTGGTAGAGTTTATTAAATATAAGCAAGCACTGTTATTAAATTAACATTGTGACATGCTAACGTGCACGCTAAATGTGCCTAAATGTTTCATTTTATATTGTAATTGAGTGTTTTTTTTTTTTTAAGTGCCTGTATTTAAGCTAACAAAGATTCCTGTTTTATTTTTTTAGTTTTTAATTTATTTCACATTGTTTAATATGTCCTGCATAAGGATCTGAAGTTGAAATTTGTTACCTTTTAAATTAGAAGCATTTAATTGATGTATTTTAAAAATATAGACACTCAAATAAAAAAAATTAAAAATGTATACACTTGATTCAAAATAAAATAAACTATTCATGCATATTTAACGTACAGTCAGCATGCCACCTGTTAATTTAACAATCATGCATATGAACAACGTACGCTTTAATAAAAGGAAACGCTTTAAAGTTATAGACGCTTAAACCCTAGGCCACGCACACACAAAACCTGTTCCAAATCAAACGATCCAAAATATTTTTTACATATTTTATAATATATCAAGTAGTTTGGAGCCTAAGGTTTTTGCGCTCAAGTAATCAAAGTCTATATTTATCAAATTCGATAATGTCTGGGAGATTAACCGCAAATATCCGATAATCCGAGTGCTAGATTTAATAAAATGGGCCCAATTTTCTAATCTTCGAAAATTTGATTTAAACGAGCTAGAGAGAGGAGGCCCAGATCTTTTCCACAGGCAGCGAACTGGCCTGCTCGAGGTCCCTTACAGGGCCTTGCCTCTTTACCTTTTTGTTTTCTTTCGAAAATTATATTTATTCCATTTCATCTCATCTTTATATTTTATATATTCTATTTATTAAAAAAATATTTATATTAAATATTTAAATTTGATTAAAATTATTTTCGGAAAAAAAATACATAAAAAAGATAAAATTTTAGTTCACACTATAAAGAATATTATTAAACACATTTTTTTTTAATATTACTATTATGATCATTATAATTTTTATATTTAGATTTGTCAATATTTTAGAGAATTTCAATTTAAAATTTTTTTCATATTCTTTTTTGCAATAATTTTATAATCCATAATTATTTAGAATTTATCAAACACGTTTGGTGCTCTTAAATTTCAAAATAAAAAATAAAATCAAACCCATGCTATGATATAGAAGTATAAAAATCGGCGTACGCTGAAACATGTTTAATTAAATTGAACTTTAGGCTTAGAAATGAAAAGGAAAAAGGAAACCACTCTCACCCATATAAAAGTGCAGGTAGCTTAACTAGTCAGCAAGTAAATTCTTGAAGTAATCTGCAATCAATAATAAAATAATTAAACGGAGCAAGCACACATTTTTTTTCTGGTTTGGTTGCCTTTGCTCCACAAAATAACTTTCATTAATTAGTACAATCAATATTAACCTCTTCAAAACGAAATATTTCTTAGAAAGCCAACTCATTAGATCAATTAATGAATAGATTTTTTTTAATTTAAATAGATGGAAAAGAGAATAACATATATATATATATGTTCCTGGATATTATCCGATCCATGGTTTGCAAGGAAAAAAAATGAAAAATGAAATATATAAAAACAAGAAGAAGGTAGCTTAAGAGTTTGGCGGTGCTTTAAAAACTCGTTTAGCTATTTGTGATTCCATGAAATTCTGAGTAGGAATAGAATTCAAGACCAAAGATCTTGCAATTAATTAAACTGAATGGTAAGAAGAACATGTATCTACCGGTACAAGTACAACCCTATTGTTGAGAAACCGGATATATAATCTCTGTTTACATGAAACTGAATTTGATAGGCGTTCAAATTTCAGTGACCCGGTCCACGCCTTGTAGCAATCTGAGGAGGCGGCGGCGAAGCTGGTGATTGTCGTAATGCCATTTTTATTGGCAATCTCTTCAACTTGTAATCGATGTTATTAGAAGGAAAAGCACCGAAGGCCATCCCTGAAACATGTAAGAAAATCAAGGTGTAGATGAAGATGAACTTGAGGAAACAGGAAATTGCACCCATCGGATACTAAGCAACCTTTTGTTTCAGAGAACAGTCGTATAATCCTTTTACCAGGTCATCGAAGCACTATATGGTGAAACATGACCAACCGTGTCATTGTCGTTCTATTGGCAGCTAAGATTAAATTAAGAAGAAAATAGAGCAGTGTAAGATAGACTTGATAGATCATTAATACAAAAAGAAAACAATATCGGCAGCATTGACTTGGCACATTCCTGGAAAATATTTGTTTCTCATTACAAAAACGACTTTGAAAGAATTGTGGTCGTAATTCAAGATTCAAGAATTAGTGTTTGTTCTTGGGTCAATGGAGGAAGATGCAGCAATACAAAAGGATAGTGCAGAGCTCGAGTGACTGTAAATAAGCTTTATATATAGCATTCACTCGTGAGATTAAAAACTTAAATCTTATCTATTGCAGTCTACTGTTGTTTAAATATATTTTATATTTGCTAGTTCAAATTGTGAGGATCAGTATGTGTTTATTATATATATATACACACACACTATACGAAGAGAAAAATGAGCCATTTTTCAAAAGCTTAATTATAGTTCATGTATTTTTGTAATCGTATTGATGGAAACACTGCATTCTCTTTTATATTGATTGACTCCATTTATTCAATTCTTCCTTTCTTTTTGTTACCATCGTTCCATTATAACGTTGTTAGCTTATAAACTGACAAGACATGCTACGCTTTTGAATGCATGACACATGTTATAAATAAAATCTCAATAGAAAAATCAATCAAAATAATTCAAAAAGTATCATGTTTCAATCAAAATAATTCAAAAATTACAATGATCAAATTATTATTTTTTATTTTTTATGTTATTATTTTCTTAAAACCTTATATTGAATGTCGCAAACGTGTTATATGTGAGACCTCATCATAATAAAACTATAAAGATTATTTTTTTAATCAAATTATTATTTTTTATTTTTATGTTATTGTTTTCTTAAAACCTTATATTGAATGTCGCAAACGTGTTATATGTGAGACTTCATCATAATAAAACTATAAAGATTATTTTTTTTAATCATTACGAATTTTTTTAAATAATAAAATACATACAAAGCGAAACTGACATTAGAAACGAGCATTTGTTTTTTATTTTTTTTATTTTTAATATTTCAATTTGGTTTTCGATTAACTAAACTCATCGAAGCATAACCGAGCTCGAATCAAATTTGTGTGCAGGTTTTTGATTTATGAAATTGAATTTTGTTTTCAGTTTTGAATTTTTTCCTAAAAAGCAATTTTTTTTCTTTTTTTGCTGATTTTTAATTATTTAAAATAATGTAAATAGCCTAAAGAAATTGTGTTATAGATTATAGAGTGCTTCCTCTATTCCAAATGGTTTAAATGAACCTATATGAAAAATAATAAATATTTTTTTAAATAAAACTAATGCAAAACCATACAACATAATAAGGCATAAAAATTTAAATACAATTAAGTCCACTAATCCACATTAAAATATATAATGATAAAAAATTATTAATTGTTCAAACGAGCTATAAACCGAAATATCAAAGTTCAAACACGTTCTAAAAAAAGTATATAATTTGGTGTTTGGTGGAAATCGAATTAATGATTTTAAAACTTTAATCAAAACCAAAAAACCCAAGTTAATTTGGTTTTGATGCATGTTTTAATGATCAAATTTAATTAAAAATTGAACCAAATTGATATTTCGATTTGGTTTATCAGCTTTTAACTAAATATTGCTCAAACTTACCAAACATGCAATTCAAAAAAAAAAAAATAGACTACTAATATGTTCGTCCAAATTAAAATTAATACAAAAATAATGATGACTAGTAACCAATTATTTACATCAAAGACAAAATATAGTGTACTCTGCAATGTTTTTTTTAGGAGCAACCATATTTAGAATTTTTTACTTTTTATGGAAAAGTAAACTCATTAATTAAGAGTTTGTGACCGATCGATATTGCACATCATCATATATTTTTTTTAATAATTACATGTCATATTATTATTTTTTTACATATTATTTTATTATTTTTAATTTATTATAATATTAAAAATATACCGTACAACACTCGTGATTAGGTCTCACATACGACACATGTATATTTTGAGGTTTCCAAAAAATAATAACATGAAAAGCAAAAAAAAAAAAAAACAATAATTTGATCTATGTACTCTTTGAAATATTTTGATTGAATCTGTTTATTAAAATCTTACGTACAATACGTGTCATATATTCAGTAGTATCAATGTCATGTCAGCTCATAGACTAACGAAATTATGATGAAAGGATGATAACAAAAAAAAAAAATGATTCGATTAGCACAAGAATAAAGTTTTAATTAAAATAATTCAAAAAATACAATAACAGTATTCAGTCAAAATCCAGCTTAATTATGTAGGAAAGTTGGCATGGGCATTGGTCTTTGTTCTGGTTTTTGTTTTTTTAATTAAATGTAACAGAGTCTTGGTCTCGTCGATTTTTTAGTGCTGAAACAGTCTTTGTGACTAATGAACTCCGAATTGATGTGAGTTTTGAACCTGTCAACCAACCAAATTATATGTCATAGTTTTGGAAAACTTCACCAAATTGTAAGACTCTACGCTTTGGAAAACTTTCATGTCGATTTTGATGAATTTGATTGAAGTGAGAAAATTTCTTTAATTGAACCCGTTTCTCATTTTTCGTTCAAACTATTGAATTCTCATGAAATTTTGTTTTATAATTTAATGGGTCAAATTTGCAAATCATCAATTCTCATGAAAGTTTGATTAAAAACTTTTCAATGGGTCTTTGAAGGAAATATAATTTTATAATTTATTAGGTTCAAATTTGCAAATCATCAATTTTTTAAAAAAATTAAGAAAATGAGTTTTATGCAGGTCAACCAGCGGGAGGTTGAGAATGAACTTCCAATTTTATACTGTAAACGCAAGCCTTAATTTGATTACATTGCAAGATCAGCTTCTCAATTTCTGATAGAGGACTTGGTCTCCACCGCTCTGGTGGATTGCTCAACGCAGCAAAGGATTATCAAGATCCAGACTCGATTTTATGCTTAGTGATTTTTAAGATTATGTTGAGCTAGGATTTTATGTACCTTTCAGTTCCTTAATTAAGTGAAATGTAATATGTAATAGTTGAACAATAGACAAATCATGGCGGGACGATCGGAAATCCCGGAGATCTTGTCATAGAGGGCTTAGGAGCAGGTGGTGGTGATGGAAACTTTGCTTTTATCAGCAATCTCTTCAACTTGTAATTAGAAAAATTATTGGAAGGAACAGCATTTGAAGCCACCCGAAAAACAGGGCTATATGAGAAAAATCAGGAAATAAATAAACATGAACCTCAGGAAATATGAAACTACTGTAGCCTTTGCTAAAACCACTTGTTCGATAAACCCCATATTTTCTGTATGCCATCAATTTATTTACCGATCCATAATTTATTTAGGCATTCACATCTTTAGCCCTTTGGTTGTGGTTGCATTGGTAATTTATAGTCAACTTATAGACGTGCATACACACGCATGCATAATGTATACATTGACAGAAATAGAATATATTCAGCATTTTCTCTGGACCAAGATTTTTGTTTTTTTTTCCTCCTCAGCATTCTAATGACTTTGAAATTGTCCCGGTCCGAATTTCAATTTTGTCAATGTTCGCCGGTCCATAGGAAGAGACATCAAACTTAGAAGGGAGAATTTATTCGTTTTTGCTACGAGGAAGGGAGTTTAATTATTTGTGGTCAAGGAAGAGATTATATTCTACAGTCATTACAAGTTCAATTTTTTTTTTAATAGCTTGCATTTTCTGGCATCTATATATATATATATATATATATATATATGGATTGTTTTATATAACTAGTACTAGAGTACTGCATGGACCTTTTGTATGTAAAAACTAATACTCCAATTATAGGAAATTAATTCTCTTTTTATTTTATACCCACTAGAAACACATGAAAGATTAGGGTGGTGAGACTTTTTTGTTTCAACTGAATATATTACGATTTATAACTAATCATGGTTTTCCAATATTGACCAATTAATAGAAAAATAACAAATTAATTATTTGAGTATCAATCTTATAATAAGGATCAATATGTTCTGATACTGATTTAAATTAGAAAGTGATAAATTTAATCTTGATTGATACGAAAACTAATCTAAAAATACTCTATTACTTATAAATATATAAAATAAAAACAATCGATGTTGTTCAAATATTGTGTGCTGGCAAACAAAGATATATTTGAAAGATTTAGGTGAATTCTGTTTTTTGGGATTTAAAAGAGAGATAATTTCAATAATATGATATTTTCTTTTACGTGAAAATTAAGAATTTATTTAACAAGAACTTTAGGGAGAAAGAAAGATCCATTGTAAATTTGAAATTGAAAACCTAGGTTACATATTGTCAATAGATTTCTCCTCAAATTGCTAATTGGCGGCTGGGTTGATTTTTCAAGGAGCTAGGACCTGAAGCTTAGGTTCGAAAAACCAAATATATAAAAACATAAATTATATATACAAGATTGTTTTAAGTGAAAAGAATTCTATTTATTTAAATAAGTAGTTTTAGGTTTGAATTTTTATTTTGTAAAATAATTTTAAATAGCTATCCCTATTTAGTGCATTCGACATATCTGATAGAACAGTAAAAAATTAATTTAGAACTTTAAACCTAAAATACCCCGAAGAATTAAAAAAAATAGAAAAGAAAGAAAGAAATCTTAAAACTTGAACTGCAGCAATAATTATTACTGACTTTCCACTTTACTTCTCCGTCTGCCCTATAGCTGATGGGCCAAACAGTAAAAAGAACATTTTTGTTTGTATAGATTTACAAAAATAACCTTAAGGTAACATGTAAATTTGTTTTGTTGAACAAGCTATAAAGTAAGTCGGGACCCTACGCATCAGATCAGGAAAAAAATAAAATAAATAATAACAGTTATAATTTTATTCACAATCTACGCATATTAAGTTGAATGACGTAACATTTATTATAATTATTACTAGTTTGATACATTACAGTAAAATAATCATTATATAAATAGAATTAACGATTTGTATGATATAGTGTAAGTAAAAAATTTTATTTCGATGATTAATATAAATCGAATCTATATATTAAACGAAATTGGTTGATTTATATATATTTATTAACAAAATATTTAATATTATTAGCATAAAAATTTATATTTAAATAATTGAGATGTTCTTTCAAAACATTATCTAACTTATTTTATTTAAAAAATAAATTTTAAAATATAAAAAAATAAATAACAAATAATCGGCATTAGGCGTGCATATATACGAGTTAATTTCTAACAAAATTAATGACACACACACACACACACACATATCATACTTAATATATTCAGAAATAAATAAAATATACTAAAAAAACATCTAAATTGTATTAAATATATTGAAATCAGTATATTAAAATAAAAACTATAATAAAATTGGTTTCAATAAATTCTATATATATATATATAGATAAAATAAAACTTATGAATTCTTTTAACTGATTATTAATTTTTTTTTTAAAGTCAAATTATGTAAAACATACTTTTATCTCCCCCCTCTCTCTCTTTTTCTATATATATATATAATCGGAATTTATAAATTATAATAAAAAAACTCATCTAAAAAGCAAAAAAAATTAATTTTTGTATAAATTACAATAATATAAAACACTAACATTCTAAAATTTTATTTCAAAATTCATATATTAAAAAACTAAATTTATTAACAACTAAAATTATATAAAAAAATTAATTTGATGTGAATTTTAATAAAAAAAATAATTGGAAAAAATTAAACAATAAAAGTAATATAATCGGATATATATACTCTATCATCTTTAAACTCGTATGCGGAACTAAAAAATAAAAATTTATTTTTAACATTTTTTACACCTAATTTCATGATATATATATATATATATATATATATATATATATATATAATCAATAATGTTGGTATAAAAAATTGTATTTGAATAATTGGTTGGTTCTTCTTATAATAAATAAATTCAAAAATATAAAACATGAAAGATGAATATTTTAAACTAAATTCTTATAATACAATAATGAATACCCCTAGATTCTATTTTGGATAACCATATAAAGTTATCTCATTAATTAACAAAACTTTAAATCATGTTACTATTGCAATAACTAATCTCTGTTAAAAATATATTTTAAATTAATCATATATAGTTTAGGGTCGTTTTAAATATTTTGAATTAATGAAAAATTTAAATTCTATTTTGGATAACCATATAAAGTTATCCATTAACTAACACAATTTCAAATCATGTTAACTATTGCAATATTCACTCTCCATTAAAAATATTTAATTTTTATCAAATATATTTCAACTTAATCATATACGGTTTAGGACCATTTTAAATATTTTAAAATTTAAGAAACCAAATAAAAACATATTTATAATGTAAGGACCAAAACAAAAAAGATAAAACTAACTAAACTCACACTATATATTCCAAAGAAAAAAAAAAGGTGCAGTAGAAGCATTATGATTGAGCATTAATTGCTCTGTCCAAGTAAGGAGGAGTTAAACAAAATGGGTGAAAAAAGGAAAGGCAAAAAAGGAGAGCAAGGATAACAACGTTATTTGGCAGCCTAGCAATTAAGCAAACACCTCTAAATGTCTTTTTTTTAAAAAAAAAAAAAGGAAAAAGCCAGCTCACGCCTGCCAGGATGGGCCAGCTTACATGTGTATATACATAATTTAAAAAAAAAAAAAAAAAAAAAAACAAACAACAACAACTATAACTTTCGATGAACTCGAGATCATCGAAGGCTTGTTAGAAAATCGAAAGTCAAGTTTCGGATCCTTAAAAATTAAATGTCGGTATCATTTTTTTTCCTAAACACTTCTAAATGACCAGAATAAAGCCAATAAACATATCTAAAATCTTCAAAATCATTTTAATATGCAACAAAATAAAGAAAAATACACAATCAAATCGAAACTTTTTTTTTCTTTTTTTGTCTCCGATTTACATCCTCTAATTGTTTAATGACTTGAAACCACCATATACAAACTTAACTCTCAAAGATAAAAAAATCTAACGGATTTTCGTCCGTCGAGGTGGCCTAAATAAGCTTAGCCGGCGATCTCTCTCTCCTCCCTTCCTTCTCTCTCATCCAAGTGATCAAAATGAATGAGCAAATGAAGATATGAATAGAAAGATTCGTTGACAAAGACCAGGGATCAAATTATAAAAAACTAATGAATAACGGTATTTGAAACAAGTAACTTATCGTTTTTGTTTTAGTTTATTTAGTTAATAATAAAGGTATCTTTTAGAGAAAATGGATGGTGTGGTGTGGATGCAATGTTTTCTGTCGGAAATTGTGGAATAACTTACCATTTTTTTTCATTTTTTTAACCAAAATATAAAAAACATTTAATGGAATAATTATAATTATGGAATTGAGTGAATAATAAAGTAAAAATCACAAAATGTCAATGAAATTTTAGTAAATGCTTTATAACATTTTTAGTTTAAAACTAACATAATATGTTATATTCTTGAACGTGTGACACGTGTCATTCGTGAGACTTCATCATATATACTTAATTAAAACAATTCAAAAAAATGCATAAATTATTATAATCACCATTAATACTACTAGTATTATTTTCTTAAAATTTCATCTTAAATATACAAAATGTATCATGCATGAGATCTAATTATAGTAAAACTATGAAATATTTTTTTGTTAAACAAAAATTGTTGATAATAAATTAAAATAAAAAACAATACATAAAAAACAAACTTAATATGCAGTTTTTAAAATAAAAATATGATACTTTGCAATTTTGATTCAGTCACATATCCCAAGTTAATAGATTTAATCCCTACAAAAAGTAAGAAATTCTTACCATGTGACTGATTTAAAGTAAAAAATAGATTGTTCTTTCAAAAATACTAGGCACTTCGCCACATTTTTTTATCATATATATATTTATCATATTGAAAAAAAATATAATAGTATGATAAGTAGTATATATATATATATATAATATATATGTTAGTCGCAGAGATTCTGATTCACCCTCATTTTTTAAGGCGTCAATTAGCCAGTGGTTGGTGTACTTTGCGGTTTACATGGGAGACACAAGCCCACAAGCTTGGGAAGGCAGCCCATGAAGGAGCAGCAACTCTGTTTTAAAATGGCTGTATATATCAGCCCATTTGTAGGGTGACCGAAAACCATACTGAAGATTGAAGGGGAAAGAAGCAAAAAGCAATTGACCCGTTAAAAAACGAAGGTAGAATCAGAATCTCTGCGACTGGTTTCCTTTATTGGTGAGACTTGAAATCACTTTTTGATATGGTGTCATATGATGACCTAAAACCAATACTAGAAAATGGTCTGAGAAAATAGAACATGCTATCGCTTTAACGATGTACCGAAGACATCTTATCGAGAATTTTTTCAACAGCTTTAAGATGCAGGTAACGGCAGTTTCTGGATTTTCCGCTCCTTAATTAAAATTTTCTTCCATAAGCAGGAAGAATAGAAATACCACAAATTTGACTGCCTGATGCCAGTCTTATTAAAAAATTATTTTTTCGAAATTATCATAATAAGTTTTTTTAAACAAAAAAAATCCTTCACAGTTCTACTGTGACAAGGTTCCACATTTGACATATTTTACCGCATTCAAGATGAAGTTTTAAAAAATAATAACATGAAAATTAAAAAAAAAAGAATTGATCAAATATTTTTTGAATTGTTTTGATTTGCAATCCCATGTATGATACGTGTCAGTATTTTAACGTACCATATGATCAGCTCACAAACTAACAAAATTATAATAAAAATACGATAAAGAAATAAAATATAAAATAAAAAGTTTCAATAAAACCTAAATCAAAATAATTTAAAAAGTCTAAAGATCATATAATACGAGAAAAAACCTATAAATAAAAGCGTAAAGCAGTTAATTTGCCAGTAACCATAAAAATAAAGAGCATGATTAATTTAAAGAGTTAATAATTAAAATGCGTACGATTGATGAGATCGAGATTATTATTATTTTGTGTTAAGGGTTTCCATATTCCAATCACAGAGAGAAGAAAATATGCTTAGAATATAAGTACACCAAATAAGTAGAATTCAAATCCTAATAATCTAGAGATAAAAAGTCTATATATAAATAAACCAAGAGATATAGAGATAATCAAGTAAAGAATAAATATCCTTAGATGTATCAAAACCCTTTGACGTTGGTTAATGCCAAGCCACTTTTCCATCTAAGTCTCCTGGTCATATCCACGGCTTACATGTATTCAGCCAGCACAATTTGGCTTCTGCTGTTTATGAAGAACTGTTGTTCGGTCCACTTTCTTGCGAAGTTACTGAGTTCAACAATATGCAGATGATTCGTGGCATCTTCGCGCATATGTATAACCTTTTCTAGTTCCATTAATTTGGCAACGACAAATGACAACATTTTATGACACAGAAGAAAGCAAAAATCCCTTGATGCTTGAAACCATATCCATATGAATCACTAAGCAACCTTTCGAAGCATGATATCTAGCATCAACATGGTGGTGGTGGATTTGGATATCTTCGTGGTGGCGTTGGCGGTGGTGGTGACCGAGGAGGAGGACTTTTGTAATGAATAGGAACGTTAACCCTTGGAGGCGGAGGTCGTGGTCTTCCCCTTCTAGACACCCCCTCAACTTGTAATAAGAAAATTGATTTGTTGAAATCCCATCAGGGGAAGACCAAGATGGAGCTTCCCATGCAGAGGCCTTGCCTGTGTTACTAATATGAGATGATATAAGCAGCCCATGGATCAAAATGAAAATAAGCAAATATGCTATGCCACCCATGGTGTTTGTTATTACTGGAATACTAGTAGATCGATATGCAATTTTATGTGCGACTGGTGCAAGATATATAAAACCCAAAACGAAGAAATCGTCAACAAAATTTTGTCAGTACACGTTCGGTCTTTTTCTATAAATTTCATGTTGACAAGAGCAAAAGGAAGAGGCCTATAATCAACCAGAGTACTAATCCTCTGATTTCAAGGGGTTTGGTAGAGAGTTTGGAATAAGTCAAAGACAAAGTAGCACAAATTCACACCTTGTAGTCGTTTTCCTGGAAAGTGGAAAGTATGTAAGCCATGGGCGGTCTTACGCGGAAAGCAGCTGAAATAAATTATTAAAGAACTCTCGTAGATGCTACTAGCTAATCTCTATAATCGGTCAATACAGCCTAGATTTTGCATCTAAAGTATCAGAATTAATTACCTTATTTATACATAATTATTTTTTATTTATAAAATATCTTGATCAACTAGATAGATGAAACATTTTTAAATGTAAATTACATGAATGATTACCATAATTTAATTTGAAAATTTTAATAAAATAATAAATTTAATATATATTTAATAATAAAATTAATTTAATTAAAAATATAAAATATATATATGCACAGGTTAAACTATATATATGCATATAGTATATATATATATATATATCAAGAAAACAATATGGTTATATATAAGTCAAAAAACAATATGGTTGGATTTGTTTACATCATTGTTACATTTGTTTTGTACATATACATACGATAATAGTTATTTTATGAATTTATTTTTAAGAAGATATAGAGATAAGGAAAAATATTATATTCGAACTCAAAAAAATGATTAAAAAAATTATTTATTTAGTTTCAATTTTATAAAAAAAATTATTTTTTATTTTTTATATTTATTTCTTTCTTATGAAATAATTTATATTATTTAATACAAAATTCCTTGTACTTAACAAACTAGCATCCATGTGATGTTGGATCCCCACTAATTAATCAAATCATCTGAGAAAAGGACCGGATATACAACCTTCAAAATACGTTCTTCATGAAGGATCAAAAGGAAGAGGCACTGATAATGTGAGATTAACCAGTGTACGTAATCCTCTGATCTCCACAGGGTCTTTGGTAGAGAATTTGCAATAAGTCAAAGACAAGTTAGCACAAATTCACACCTTGTAGTCGTTTTCCTGGAAAGTATAGATGCCGGGAAAGTGGAAAGTATGTAATTAAACCTATGGGCGGCCTTACGTGGAAAGCAGCTGAAATAAATTATTAAAGAACTCGACGTAGATTTCGGTCGATACATCCTAGATTGTGCCAGTCTAAAGTATCAGAATTAATTACCTTATTTATACATAATTATTTTTTATTTATAAAATACCTTGATCAACTAGATAGATGAAATATTTTTAAATGTAAATTACATGAATGATTACCATAATTTAATTTGAAAATTTTAATAAAATAATAAATCATAAATTTCATATATATTTAATAATAAAAATGAATTTAATTAAAAATATAAAAATTTATTGCACATTATATGTAAGCTACAAGTTATAACTATATATATATCAAGAAAACAATCATCGTTACATATAAGTCTAAAACACAACATGGTTTGATTTGTGTATATTACTATTAAATTTATTCTGTATATATACGTAAAATAATTACTTTATGAATTTATTTTTAAGGAGATAGACGAATAAAAAAAATATGCATTTTGATCTAGAAAAATGATAAAAAGATTTTCAATTAGTTTTAATTTTTATAAAAAAGTTATTTTCTCTATTCTCTTTACTCTTTACATTCATCTATTTCTTATGAAATAATTTAGACTAATTATTCTACGAATAATATAAAATTCCTTGTACTTAACAAACCAGCATCTAAGTGATGATAGATCCCCACTAATTAATCAAGTCGCCTGAGAAAAGGACCGGATATACATCCTTCAAAATACGTTCATCGCGAAGGATCAAAAGGAAACTCATTGCTGGTGTGAGATTACGTATAAATAATTTATTCTACACATTCTTTGGCATTAGCTACATCTTGACCTTTGGACCATTAATTAATTGGTCCACCACCTTCTGACAAGTTCATGCACGTATTCTATTTGTGCTGCTGGTTTACGAGGAATCCGAGCCGATGTCTTTATAATCGATTTGCCAGCCAATTTACCTATTTTGTCGCATTGCTGATCTAGCTTTAAGCATTTGTATCTTTGTTTGGATGGGACCCATATCTTTTGTGCTTTGTATTGTAAGTTTGGAATTGACCTTGGTTTTATAACTAATACAGTGAGAATTTTTGAACCACCTTAATTCCTTAATTCATCTGTGTCTCTGGATGCCTTTTGTAAACAATCCAAAGCTATTATCTGTGTTTTTTAGTGTTAATTTGTATGAATTTAGAAGGAAAAAAACAAAAAACAAAAACAAAAGCGGTAGAGGAATTTCTGTGTAGCCGGTTCAAGAAATTAACAGTTGAAATAAGATATATGAACCCGATTGGTGTGTGGTTGGGGTGGAGGGCGAAGGGTTGTTGCATGTTACAGAAGTGAGCTTGGCCCATGGTCTTATATTTTGAAAAAATTTCTTACTGGTTATCACTAAATTTACTTCAAATTGGTCAATATTCGATCAAAACTTGTGTTTCTAAATAGGATGTCGATCAAACTGACCAACGTCCAACTGAGAAGCTGAATATGCTAACGCCAAGTCCTAAACAATTGCAACAGATTCGGATTTTTTCCGAAGGCATGATGATTACAACATTCTAATATGGATACCATGAGCAGGAAAGCAAAGCAAAACAACCTTGGAGTAAGAAATCTTGTGTATTTCCATCAATGGTACTAACTAGCACAGCAGCAGCAGGAGCTAGCAGCCATATATCTCTGACATCAATACGGTGGAGGTGATTTTCCATACCGTCGTGATGGAGGAGGTGGCGGTGCCCGAGGAGGAGGAGGGCTGAAATGAATAGGAGGATTGACAGTTGGAGGTGGCGGCGATGGTTTTGCCCTCCTATGAAGCCCCAAATTGTGAAAAGGAACATCATTTGAAGAAATTGCATCAGAAGAAGGCCTAGATGGAGCTTCCCATGCAAAAGCCTTGCATATGCATCTACTATGAGATGATAATAGCAGCCCATGGATCAAAAGGAAAGTAAGAAAATATGAAATGGCACCCATCGTTGGCTGTCGTTGGAACACTAGCAAGATATGCCAATTTATATTAGTAACTGGTGCAAAAGTCTGTCCATATATACAGGATACAAAGTAAACATATCAATAAAATACATGGTAAGTTTTATTATATAAATTTAATACACATGCAGATTTGGCTTAATGGTTATTATAATTGTCAACGGACTGGATTTGATCCTAATCATATCTGTGATAATTTGCAAAGCTTGTATCTTTATTGTATAAAACAGTACACTTACCCTATATATATATATATATACAAAATAATGAAATCTAAAGAAAAGGAAGTAAAAGCTATACAAGTAAGGAAACGTTGTGTAAATCAAAACAGTTTACAACCATGCTTGTAATCTCGTGATTATTGGCCTATTTATAGTCTAGCCATGGATCCTATAATGTAGCCATTAATAATGTTAACAATATTAAATCTAGATTTGGTTTGTCAAAGAAAAAAGATTGGATCAAATCTTATAAATTGAAATAAAATTTTGAAAATGTCATTCGTATCTAAATTCTAACGGATCAAATCGAATTTGAAACTCTATTGAATTTATCATTTGGTTTTGAGAGAACCACTTTTTTGGTGCTTAACTTTTGATTATTTTTCTGTTTTAGTGTCCAACCGTTGATTCTTAATGATTTGTTATCCAAGTTTTGATTTTTGGCTTGTTTTGGTATCTAAATTCACATGAGATTCAACTTTATTGATGCGTTAGGCAAGAACTATCATGTGATAGTTAAAAAATATCAATGTGACGGTCAATTCTAAGCACGTCAAGCAATCTATACTCTCATATGACTGTAGACACTCAAATAGAAAAAAATAAAAAACAAATCAAAGGTTAGACGTTAAAACTAGAAAAAATAAAAATTAAAAGCTAGACACCAAAAATGAAGTTTGTCTTAAGAAATTTATTGTTTCAATATACAGCAAAGTTAATCCAATAATTTTCACTTGATTGCATTACCAACAAATATTTTATAATCTACTAATATAAACCTCATAGAAAATATAATTAGCATCTCAAAATCTTATATAACGATTCAAAAACCCTAACTTTAAAATCTACTTAAAAAAGTAAAGATCATGAATAGCAAGAAAAGAAAAATGGTTCAATGTTATAAAATAGTAAAGATAAAGAAAAAAAGAGTTAATTAAATTTGATAGAAGTAGATTATATTATTAAGTAATGGATTTGAAGCTGAGAAACCAAACAGCATCAAAAGTTTCTGCTTTGTTTTTGTGGTTTTTAGTCATGAATCAAATCCCTTTATGACCAAACTCAAATGCCAGAATATCCCATAAAATAATATTTTATGGGCTAATTATTTAGAAAGTTTGTTCCAATATAACTTGAAGCTAAGCTTTATGAATTGTGTTTGGGCCAAATGTGTTTAATTGAGATAAACTGTGAGATAAATCGGCCGAAAACATATTTGGAGGCTACTTATATAATTTTTCTTATATTCAAATTTTAATATTTTTAAAATATTTTATTTTTTATCTTTCATTTGGGATCGATTTATTATTAGATCGGATCAAGATAAATTTATATTTGATTTATTATTAATAAATAGGTTAGTGGATCTGAATTATAATCATATTGAGAATCATAAAAATCACTCAGCAGATTTATTTAACAAAATTGGATTTGGATCGAATTTGAATCAAAATTTCAAATTCGAATCAAAATTTAATCCATTAACAGTTCTAAAGTTCTAATGGTTACATATCTAAGTAGTTGATTTCAGTGGAGCAGATTCTAATTTTAGTAATTAGGATTTTAATAAAAAGGATTACTTATTGTATAGTACCAAATACATTGATATTTAGTCTTCTAATAAATCCAAAGAAGAAACAAACAAAGGCTAGCACAAATGGTAAAGGAGTACTTGACATAAGCATGAGGAGGCTTTGAATTGAAATCTCACCCTGGGATAGCTTGGGTAATTAACAATTTTTGTGGATCACCAAGCGTGAAGTCTCTTTCTAAAACAAATAACATGGGCTCTCGTCAATCAGAATGAATGGTGCGATTTGACGTAGTCAATTCCAAACCTTGGAAAGTTAGTCATGAAGGTTAAAAAAACTCGAAGACCACATTGATTATATAATAAATAAACTCCTTGTTAGCAAAACCTCGGGAGAGAAACTTTGCTCAAATTCCTTATAAATCATACGTGGACTTCTATTGTTTATTATTTCATTATCCATTAGGACTTCGATTTCAAGGGGGTTTGGTAGAGATTTTGTTATTGAGTACTTATGGGATAAAAGTTCCGCGTAGTGAAACTTTACTAGTTGCTTCCTTGAAAGATATATTATGTATAACATTTGGACGTTCATACGCGGATAGAAACACTAACTACACTCTAGCTCAATTGGAATGTTTGTTATCATTCCCTACTATATATACTCGAAAATGATTGCTTTCATCATGTATTAATATGTATCTTTACTGAATACTCTTAGTGATAGTATTGGATGGTAATGGACGCGAGGTCCAAAGAAGAATTTACGAGTGACACGACCGTAGCATAAAACTGAACATAAAGTTACCAAACACATATCATCGACTCTAAATTAGTAATGAAAAAAATAAAAATAAAACATGAGAGTACGTAAATTCCGAGCAGAAAAGACCAGGTAACAACGCCACTGACATTGACCTTAATTAAGTTTGATGACACTGGCTCCCAAAATGTCTAATTTTTTTGATATTGGACGTTAAGGTGCAATGCAAATGATATCTAAGGTCCCTGGGATGCCATAGAAAGAGTCCACTTTGCGGATAAAGATAATAGAATGTATGAAATCACAACGAAGTCACCCACTAGTATGATTTAATATCTACCCAAGAAAGCAGTACCACTGAATCAAACGTGGGGACACGCATTTACTATATAGCTATTCATCCACCAACCATGTCAATACATAGAACAGTTGCCACTTTTGTAAACGACTGCAACACAACGACAGAGATCGTCTGCAGGTCGGACATTTACTATGCCAGATTGGTTCAAAGACACCCCATACCTCTGGATGTCTCTCTCACCAGATCCTAGGGTTTAAATATCTTTAGGTTTTTCAGTGTAACTAAAAATTTAGGACGATTTTGAATCATTTAGCCGAACTATTATTTAGTTGACTTCCTAGTATGGGGATTAAATTCAAGGGATGGTAGGTGGAAATGGAAATACATTGCTCGGGAATATTGACTAGATGGCTAATGGACATTAAAATGGAAAATGGTTTGAGTTCTCGCAAGCCAAATTGGAATTTTTGCTAGTCGTATTGGAAATCTCACTAGATTGACTACCATTCAATGCCAGCCATTGCTTGAACCGAGTGACGGAAAATATCAAACTATAGATATATATATATATATGGAATAGCACCCAATGTTGATGCAACCCTAGTTTGGCATTTGGAAAGTTAACTCTTAAGGGAAAAAAAAAAAAAAGGTACACAAACACATTATACTTGGTTTGGCAAGGAAATTTCACAATCAATCATAAATATAAGTATTGATGTTGGAATTTTTGGCTTAGATCTAAAAATAAGTTTATCCCACATTTGATCACCATACAGCTTTGAGTTTTTTTCATTGAGAACCTTCATGATTTTTTAGCTTGATTGAAACTCTCTACTCTTACAAATTTATTGATTCGGACCTTTCGTTAATCGTGCATTCGACGTGAAACATTATAACTAACGACAACCAATCGGTATGGACACATGGTATAGTGGGTATAAAGTAATAATGTTTGAGACAAAAAAAAAAAAAAAGAATTAAATACATTTTTAGTGATAAACTAATGTTTAGAATTTACAAATGAATAGAAAGATAAATTTACGCCACTTTATTATCCCAAAATCCATAAAAAAAATATCAAAAACTTTTGGTCTCTCTCTTCACTTGTCTCTTTCTAAACATAGAATACCACTTCTTCTTCTTCTCCTCCTCCTCCGATCGAAACCATTCTCCTTCTTCGCAACCAAACAACATCTCTTCGATAAACTAGCCAATATTATTATTACTAATATATAATGTTTAACCCTTTTTAGATTTATGCTTCATGGAAGGTTTAGAGTTAGAAGTAGCTAGAGTTACCCAAATCCCTACCGGCAAGGAAGAATGCAATCGATGAGGCAAAGGTGCATCCCCTTTGCTACTCGTTGGTTTTGCTACTCATAATACCTTATCATTCATTTTCTTTGATCACCTTCCTCCCATTCGCTCATCATCTCTTTCTTTATGGGTCTCAATCGTGTAAAACATATAAAATGAGTCAGCATACACACACACATAAACTAATATCACCAAAATATAAATGTGAACTAAAACAAAGATCCGATCAATAGATATACACTTGGCATGGAAATAGTGGGGGCCATATTTTGATGATGTATTCTTTGATAAGTGACAGGATAATGAGAGGTTTGAGCATGATCAAACTAAGACCAATAAAATAATTCATAATCATCAATTTGATTAAAGCTTATAAGGTCGCTTGGTTTAAATATGGGGTGGAGATTGACATATATGGGGTAGAGATTGGACGAGTTCAAAAATTTCCAACAATAAGGACAAGAATTGTTAAATAGAAGAATTGTAAGAAATTCAGAGAGAAAAAGAGATAATTCATATAGAAAGAAACCCAATTTGCCCGTAATTTAATCATAAGCATTTTCCTTTTTGATTTTTACAATAGTAGTTACGAAGTTTTGGCCTTTTTTTAAAAAAAAAAAGGAATGGAATTTCTATCATATTTGGGTAGATAATTGAAATATTGGTTAATGAAAGTAGAATTAAGGGTCACTCTTCCATTTTATGATTTTGTTTGCAAAGTTGAATGTGAGAGTTGTTTCACAAATCAAACCCAAATGAAGCACTAAAATTCTATTTGCAATACTATAAATTGATGGGGGTTAAATCAAGAATTTTGGGATAATAAGGTGGGGTAAATTTGTCTTTTCCATTCATTTTTAAATTCTAAATATTATTTTATTATTAAAAACATTTTTAATTCTCTTTTTTTTTTTTGAACTCAAGCATTGTTTACTTTGGACCCACATCGTCGCTTGTCCATGCCTAATTAGATACCTTTAGTTTTAACTCGTCTTGTAAGATGAATATTTAACAATGTTATAGCGGAGAGTTCAACTTAACAAATTTATAAGAGTAAAGATTTCAATCAAGCTAAAAAGTTATAGAGGGTCTCAATAAAAAAAATTGAATTGTACATGGACTACATGTAAACTCGATCTAAAATTGAACATCAATGATTGGGCCCAACTCAATTTTATTGTGAAAAGATTATTTCATAATTAATATGGAGAGATTAATTTCATTTATGGAGAGAAAGTCACTCCATAATATCCCATTTTCTTTATCAATTAAGGAAAGTAATTTTTCTCTTCGTTAATAAAGTTTCCATATACTCAAAGAGACAGAGAGAGATTTTACACGAAAAAACTCTCTACACTCACAAAATATAATAGCCTCTATCATTATTGATTAACACTCGGATGTGCTAATAGTCTTGCAAAGATCAATGCAACTAAAAATACCAACCAAACAAACCAACAATTTCAAAACCAAACCCATAAATATCTATAATAGCCGATCTCAAACACTCATAAAACAATCTAACAATTTCTAATTCAAATAAAAGCCGAAATATCTCTCAAAATAAATAAGCTTAATTCAAAATCAAGATAACAAATAGAAGTCAAAACTTTTGCTTAATAAAATTCAATGGCATCCCTTAATCATAAATAATCCAAGTGCAATTCAAATGCCACAAAACCAAACTAGCTAACCCTAATTCAAGAATTAGCTAAAAAGTTAAAAATACAAATAAACAAGCTTTTGTTGATTCCAACACAAGTTAAAGACACCACCATAACATCAATAAATAAGGATAATATTTAAATTTAAGTAAGCATAAGATTTAATGCGGTTGATTTGTAGCATTACCTTGGTTGATCAAGTCAAGGATAAAGCAAGCACGCTCCTAAGCAAAGCACAAAAAAAATGCAATTTGGAAGAAAAACTCTCATAAAGTTTTATTCAAAATATTCAACAACTTGTCTTTTTTATTGCATAAAAATGTTTAAATACTTTAGGGAAACATCACATGGTTTGACAAAAATTAATCCTAAACAAGCAACGATATTCGAACTCGGTCCAAAACAAATATGGATAATCAATTCCTAGGCCATTCAACCAACTAATAAGAAAGTCCAATCCAAATCCAATCATGACTAATTAATCTAGTCCAAATCTAAAAAAGAAAAGGACTAAAAATAAATTCGAACATAATAGGAATCCTTATGCAACTAGGATAAAATAAAATAACCAAAACCAGAGTATAAATAAAGATAACAACACTTTCAAGTTTTGACCTAAAAGGACTTAAAACATACAACTTCTATGCATGCCCAAATCGAGCTTGAAGTCTTAACCTAAAGGGCATGAAACTCTCAATCAAGTCAAGTGCACACTTCGTGGCAAACTCCTCGAGTTGAAGAAGACGTAACCTCGATGTCATGACTTTTTTCTTCATCATTATGATTAGGCAACAAACTGCTATATGAAATGTGGCCAAAATTATGTAGTTTCCAACACGTTATACCTTGTAAATATTCTCTCCAACTCTCTTCACAATGTAAAAATGGCCATATGAGTCATTCAACTTGGCATAACTGACTCATAGAAATCATGTTTTGTACAAGTGAACCCAAACCAAATCACCTTTTTTAAAAACTACTAGTTTTCAAAACCTATTAACCTATTTTAAGTCTCCTTATTCAAGCTCCTTTTCGTTGAAGTTTTATGATATTGTCTTTGTTGTAGGAGGAGCAACTTCAAAAGATACCATATCAATACAAGTCATAGAAACACCACCTAAACCTTCATCAACCACTTTTTTGGCATCTCCAAATTTAGTATCTTCACTGCAAGCATCACCCAAACCAACATTCCTAACTAATACCTATTTAATAAGTTCATCATCATTAATAGTAATGCTACCAAGCAATATCTATGTTTATGCTAAATTTAGTTTCATAATCATCATCAAAATAAACATCAAAGATAGGTAGTAAATTCTAACTCATAAAAACCTCAAAACTCAACTAGCATCGAGCTTAAAAGTATATTTATTCTCCTCCAATTCTTTGAAGTATAATGATTTCACAACAACTCGTTTCTTAGCTATTCTCAATCAATTTCAAATTAAATTTCTTCTCTTATAGGCATCGAACAATCTTCTCTTCGTTTAGCTCAAGAAAATACAGATTCTTGAAGTCATCATGCTCTACTCTTTAGCCATACTACCGAGTGTTTCCAATAGAATATGACGGGCATCCATTGGAATGACGTCACACCAAACTTGATCTTAGTCTTCGACCCAATTGAGAATTGCACAAGACATCTCTTGATTACCTTTAATGCATTTTATTTTTATAGCCATGTCATTGTATATGGGCTAGGATGATTAATATCTTTAAAATTAGTTTATCCATCATCCGTAAAGAACCTACATTCTCATAATTACCTTCATCAATGATCAAGTCGGACATTTTGCTATGAAAGGTCCAACGAGTGAGAAAGATGTTATATCTTGTCCATTAATCCTCAATCGTGGCTACCTCGGCATTTTAGGCTTTTTAAGCCATTAATAACTCCCTCCCATCATCTTGAACTTCGTCTCTCTCATTGAAGGATCAAAAGAAAACTCATTGATGGTGTGAGATTACGTGTAAATAATTTATTCCACACATTCTTTGGTATTGGCTATATCTTGACTGTTGGACCATTACTTAATTGGTCCACCATCTTATGACAAGCTCATGCACGTATTCAAACATTGGTACTAACTAGCACAGCAGCAGCAACTAACAACCATATATCTCTGATATCAATATGGTGGAGGTGATTCTCGACATCGTCGTGGTGGAGGAGATGGCGGTGCCCGAGGAGGAGGAGGCTGAAATGAATAGGAGGATTGACAGTAGGAGATGGTGGGCGATGGTTTTGCTCTCCTTTAATGCCCTAAATTGTGAAAAGGAACATCATTTGAAGAAATTGCATCAGAGGAAGGCCTCGATTGAGATTCCCATGCAAAAACCTTGCATATATATCTACTATGAGATGATAATAGCAACCCGTGGATCAAAAGGAAAGTAAGAAAATATGAAATGGCACCCATCGTTGGTTGTTGTTGGAACACTAGTAAGATAGGCCAATTTATATTAGTAATTGGTGCATAAGTCTGTCCATATATATAGGGTACAAAGTAAACATATCAATAAAATACATGGTAAGTTTTATTATATAAATTTTATACATATGTAAATTCGGCTTAATGGTTATTATAATTGTCAACACAACCGATTTAAACCGAACCATCTTAAATTTAGATTCGATTTATCTAATAAAAAAATGGATCGAATTTTATAAATTCGAATCAAATTTTGAAAGTGTCATTCTACATCTGAATTCTAACGGATCATATCGAATTTGAGATTTTCATTGAATTTATCATTTGGTTTTGAGAGAACTATTTTTTTGGTGCCTAGCTTTTGATTGTTTATTTATTTATTTATTTAGTATCTAACTATTGATTTCTAATGATTTACTACCCAAATTTTGATTTTTTATTTATTTTGGTATCTAAATTCACATGAGATTCGACTTGTGATCGTAGGCAAGAACTATCAAGTGGTAGCTAAAAAATATCAATGTGATAGTTAATTTCAAACATGTTAACAATTTATACTATCAAATAATTGTAGGCACTCAAATAAAAATAAAAAACAAATCAAATGTTAGACATTGGAAAAAAAAAAAATAAAGCTGGGCACAAAAAATGACAATTTTCTCAAGAACTTTTATTGTTTCGAGATCACAAAATTGATCCAATAATTTTCACTTGATTGCCTTACCAACAAATACTTTAAAATCTACTAATATAAATCTCACATAAAATATAATTAGCATCTCAAAGTCTTATAAGATTCAAAAAGCCTAAATTTAAAATCTGCTTAAAAAGTAAAGATCATGAACAGCAAGAGAAAAAAAAGGTTCATTATTATTAAAAAGAAAAGAAAAGAAAGAGTTAATTAAATTTGATAAAAGTAAATTATATTATTAAGTAATGGATTTGAAGCTGAGAAACCAAACACCATCAAAAGTTTCGGCTTTGTTTTTTGTGGTTTTTAGTCATGAATCAAATCACCTTTACGACAAAACACAAATCCCAGGATATCCCATAAAATAATATTTTATGGGCTAATTATTTAGAAAGTTTATTCCAATATAACTTGAAGCTAAGCTTTATGAATTGTGTTTGGGCCAGATGAGTTCAACTGAGATAAATCGGCCGAAAACATATTTGGAGGCTATTTGTATAATTCTTCTTATATTCAGATTTTAATATTTTTAAATATTTTATTTTATCTTTCATTGGACCGGATCAAAATAAATTTATATTTGATTCATTTAATAATTGAAGTTAATGAATTTAAATTATAATCAAATTCGAAATCATAAAAATCACTTAATAGATTTATTTAACTAAATTAGATTCGGAACAAATTCGAATCAAAATTTAATCCATTAACAGTTATAATGGTTATTTATCTACTAGTTAATTTCAATGGAGTAAATTCTAATTTTAGCAATTAAAATTTTCTTTATTGTTATATAATAAAAAATGATTTCTTCTTATTGTATAGTGCAAAAATACATCGTATTTATTCTTCTAATAAATCCAAAGAAGAAACTAAACAAAGGCTAGCAAAAGTGGTAAAGGAGCACTTGACTTAAGACATGAGAAGGTTTTGAATTGAAATCTCACTCTTGAATAGCTTGTGTAATTAATAATTTTTGTGGATCACCAAGCGTGAAGTCTCCTTCTAAAACAAATAATATGGGCTCTCATCAATCAAAATGCATGGTGCGATTTGACATAGTTAATTCCAAACCTTGGAGAATTAGTTATGAACAAGGATTAGGTTGGTGAACGTAAGGATTGGGATAGGTTTTGAAGATAAGGCTACATATGTTGTAATTATTTATTGATTGAGTAGATTATATCTTATCTCTTTTTCAAGATAAGGCTGTGGTGGTAATCATTTATTGATTGAGCAGATTAAAAAAAAATTGACAAATACACAACTTGCAAGACTTAAAAAAAATATATATATAGACAAATTTAATAGCACACACCAATATTAAAAGAAAAACCATGACCAAGTAACGGATCACATCAACAACAAAACACAAAACAAAAGAAGCATAATCAGAAGGCAGAGAGGCAAGTAAAGAGATGGCACAGTCCATTTGAATCTTAATCCACGGCAACAATGAGTGGTGATTTGCAGTAAATAAATAGTAAATTATCTAGTTGTTTTAGTTTTTTTAGAATATATATATATATATATATATATATATATATATATAAATTAAAAAAATAAATTTATGAGAATTTTAATAAGAAATGATAAATTAAAGAAATAAATTTTAAACAATAAGAGATATGTATTTCATCATCATCAAATTGTATGTAAAAAAATAATAATAATAATAAAGATATATTTTTTATAATTTTCACACCCAATTATATGAAAAAATATATATATAAAAATAAATTGTTAGAAGAGGAAAAGCAATAAAAAAAACATGCGAGGCCTGCACTAGGCCAGGGCAGCCCGCCTAGGCCTGCTTGGCCGGGCCCACTCGCCAGGCTAGGTCGGCACTCCTGGGCATGCTTCTGCAGGCTTCAAGAGACTAGCCCCACTTGGGCTTGATTTTACAGCCCTTAGGTCCTGCCCAGCCCCCAAAAAAATCTAGATCAAAATAAAAGCTTGAAAATATCAGGGATCAAAGCGTTAAATGGTTGTAATGTATGTAGAATATCTGGTTAGATGAACAAAAAAAAAATCTCTTTCGTTCAAATTGCATACATGCAGCACTTGACAATAAAATGATCCAGTGAGAGATAAATGGATCTATTTATTAACTACTTTGTTATTGGGCTTGCCTCCCAAAGATATTATCTTAATAGGCTTGCCACTGCAAGGATTTTGGGCCACATCCGCCGCAGGACATTACAAGCACATATGTTGGCATTGAATCACAAATTTTGGGCACCATGCGAGAGGTAAAGGACAATTGGGGCAACTTCGTATCTGTACAAGTTTCTGCATCCTATGAGTTTTACAAATACAATGCCCTTATTGAAGTCTTAAGTATGAATGTTAGATATACTGCTGCAGTGAACAATGAATTAAACACCTCCTCTATAAAAACATGCCCCAAACCAGTGTAGACACAGAAGAACAGAAGAAAACAACTAAATTAGCATACAGTCATTGAAGATGGCAGCCACCAAACTCACGACTTCCAACTGCATATTAAATCCCACAATATAGGACAACCTTTTTATGTCTGCAACTTGTATAGGAGGTTGAACATACAGAACTCGTTCCGAGCAGAAATCACTATTTTTTCAGCCCTCTTACAGCTGCTGCAAAAATCTAGAAAGCCAAGAGATCAGACTTGTCACGAAATGGCAATTTATATAGCAATTCTGAGGATCAACTAAATTACAAAGCAAATTTTATGGAATGGAGATGTGGGTCGAGAGAAGAGTGGGGGGAACAAAATAAAGAGCATTGCTAAAAGCAGCAGTTATAAAGCAAACATTCTTGCTCTGCATGCAACTAAAGAGCGATCAGTTTTTCAGTTGTCCTTTCCTGGAGAGCACTAGTTCAATTCTAACCAAGTTCTGATTTTCCCGGCCTATCCATGGGAAAGGTTCGACCTATTCTGAATCAATAATGTCTACCTTTCCCCAGCACATGCATGCAAATGAGATGCTGACCTCCATTTCAAAATTAGGTAGGCATGCATTAAACTACAAACCACCTGTATGACAGGTAATCTAGAATAAATAGCATCTGCCTCCTACAGTCATGCAAGCAGTCGAATCTAAATGCACATGCCCATCCCAGTTTAAGGAACAGGTGAAGATGCATCAAATCACATCCTACCTCTCTATTTGATAGGAACAATTAAGTTTCTATGACAAGCTAAGTGTCAGATATTTATTTTATATCAGATATGTTTATTTATTTAAAAACTGAATCCTATTTACAATAAGCATTATGTCGAACATATCTAAAATGGAGAATCCTGTCAAAAAAATTAGAATCCTGTCGTATGGATATGAATTGGGAGGTGAAGATGTGCATCCAGTACATATAGCATTAACTCACAACCAAACATAGGATCTCAGCCAAAACTGAACTTAATTCTGTTTGGATCAAAGACATCAGATAATGAATCAGACTTGAAACTGCCAAGATTTTCCTATTATATTAAATTGCAATTAGAGCATGAACAAGTCACACGCATATTCCTCTTGAACATGGTTGAATCTGGAAACAAACTTTACTAAAGTACACAACAACAGAATAAAATTAAAAAGAGAACATCGCCAGCGATAAGTCAAGAAATAACCTTAGCAGAAGCTCCTGGAATTTGTTTTAAACCTTCACGAGTTTGACTGTGGCTACTGCTTTCCTTGTACTGAATTGGATTGTGTTGCTCTGTGTTATTTGGAACTGATAATTTCTCATTAGAATGTCCATGTGAGTAGCTCTGTAGCATTTTATCTTCTTCCAATGATTTGCTGTCCGGTTGACCACTGCTTGAGGAGTTGGAATTGCTATTTTTGATGTTATTAGTTAGAAGGTTTTGATCTTTCTTGTTGAACTGTGTAGCTGCTGCTCGTGCACCAGCAATGGCTGCACTGAGACTTTCTGATTTCACCACTCCAGATGCTTCGTTCTCAGAGAACAGTGCAGAAATAGAGCCTGGTTTTAAGGAAAAGGGATCTCGAGGATTTGGAAAGGGAAATTTTACCGGCATTGGACCTTTAACAGGGACAAGACCTCTAACAGCAGCCTCGTATATCTGTGAAACACAGATATGTTAATCCCAGATTAAAAATGTACGCACACATAGAAAAGCAGAGTTACTACATTAACTTTAATGTACCACATATACCTTCTTTTCCAAGTTATATACACCTTGATAGCCTCGCATATCAAAAGGAACTAGCAATTTCTGCGTCCATTGAGGTAAAATGATCAGCACGTTTAGCACGCTTTCAAATAGCATAAATTCACAGAAAGCATACCTGTGGCTGTTCACAAAGCCAGCAAAAATCTGTTTGTCCTTCTAGCCTCACCTGTAGCAGTTAAAATCATCTAGATTAGTCACCATAAACTACAGAATCATCAGATATGTGTTCGGGGACAAAAGGTCAGAAACAGTTGCCCACCCCTTCAGGTACCGCCTCCCAGCTCGCTAGCTCTTCACATCTAACACAGCCAACCACTTCAACACACCCTACATAGTACATATATAAAGAAATCCTATTTCATCAAAATTTTGATCTCACAAGACAGAATAGGAAGCAACAGTCTAACAATGTTCACTGGTTTTCACGATCCAAAATCTAAAACAACAGAAAATAAGCCAAGGCTTCCATCTCCAGCTCAGGATAAACATCACAGTCTTGTTTATTTGTGGAGAACTTTACAGTTTCAGGAACAAAAAAAAATCTAGAAAACTGCTAAAGGTTGTTTTCCAAAATTTCCATTTAAGATAACTAGGCCCCTGCTTGGTCCCCCTGTCATTCGTATTCTTTGTCATTCATTATTTTAAAGATAACCAAATTGAAGCCCTTGTTTTCTATTTTAGGAAAGTATTAGTAGTTAGAAAAAACGCTCTCTTTAATATTTTGTGGACAAATGATTTTAGAATGAAGTGAAAATTTGAATAAAAAAATGAAGATGAAATTAAGCACAACCTACAGCATTTCAATGTTGAGTAAAGACAGATAATTGATATGCAAAGAGGACAGCAAAGGACTTCAAAAATATCTGGCTCAGGTGGTAATTTGTAAAGATGGCTTGTTTATACGATTGACAATTAGTTACCCTATGTACAGCAGACTGCATGTGTTGATCATTCACAAGAAGTGCAGGAGCATTTCCAAGTGTGATGGGCGCATATGGTGTCATACACAAGCATCATTCATCAGTTCTACTCTGGCCTGCACATCCAGCAATTAAGGTGGAAATTTGACTCGGTGTGACACATTGTCAACACAAAGGCTGGTCAGGCATATTTAGCCATGTGTGCAAACACCCATGCTAGAAACTAATACCCATGTTGGTGAAATGGACACACAGATTCCTCACTCCAGTCATGAGATTGGGATGCATGAACTATGCGCCTACCGCATGATCTTAAGCCATAATTGACTATCTTACTACATTTCTCAGTAAAAAGTATAGAGAATCCAAAATTCTGAAAACAAAAAATGACTCAGAATGATGTCAGCAAATCCGAAAAAAATCATTTCATAAATCTACAAAACTTGTTAGGAGAGAAAGAAAGTGTTGAATTAGATGTTAAGACTTGAAAAGTAAATAGAAACACATGATATCAAAAGCACGAAGCCCATATACCTAAAAGTTTTGAAACAGGATAATGCTCAGGAAACTGTATGTCAGTAATGCCATTCACTGCATAAATTTCTCTATAGAAGTCTTCCATCGCTTTAATTGTATCTTCCTCTGGAACTTTACTTGCAGCATGAATCCAAAGGCGGCCTTCAAAATACAAGATTCTGTACACTTAATAACATCTTCAACAAGAATGAAAAAAAGTTGTAATGCCGAATCTAATATTTCATACTATGAAATAAATGGAGTGCCTCCTGGACTTCCTACTAAAACATTCATCATATAGCTATGGTTGATGAGTTCCATAGTTAAGCCCCAATACCTTTCCTGGCTTGCAGTTTTAAAATTGTTTATGCTTGTATTCTCAAGACATGTGACATAAAAAGTAAAAACATTCAATTCCAAGAAATCATTCAGTTCTAGCGCTGGTTAGATGATCATATCATAGAACCTAATTATCAATCAATGCATCAATTGTCCTCTAAACAGTACAAACTAATTCATTTCCATGACAAAAGGGACCTTAAAGTATGCCTTAACAAAACAATTGATAGGGAGATTAGTAAGATTTGCATTGAAGGCAATTACACCAATGAGAAGGCATCTTGTCGTATCCATAACTCGAGCATAACCCCAAATTGGCAAACTTAACCAAACTTCTGAGCTATGTAATAAGACAAACGCATATGGTAGGTGATGTTACTCAACCAAATTAAACCTAATATTTTCTTCAGTGGTGTTTCAAAAGTACTGCTTCCGACGTGGTAGTGCATCAGCGTGGACCTCACATTCAACTCATGCCAAGAACCACAACCAAATACTAATTCATTTCATGATAAACTACGATATATAATTTCCCTGTTGTCTTTTTTATTTGCATTTTTGCACATCTTGGAGTATCCTCTTTCGTAAGATGAAAGCACGATACAAGAAGATATTGCTTTTTCTTTTCTTTTTCTAAATTAAGCATCATTCCAAATATTGAATCAAAGAGGTAACCAACATCCAACACCATGGAGGCATTCAATTTGCACTAAATATACATTCAAGGAGTGTAATTTTTTTCTTCTTTACCTCTAATAGGAGCAGTCCATGACCTGCCTTCAATGCGTTTGATACCATAAACCAACAACGAAGCCCATGGTTGGTGCATGGTCAAGCACGGGTTTGTGTAGTTCCCAGAGCCCCTTCCTCCTCCACCACCTCTTCTCATCTCTAAAGTGCACTTTTCACAAACTGGGCTCGCTTTGGTTTTCCTCTCTTGGGTTTTTTTTTTTTTTTTTTTTTTGCCTGAAAAGAAGCGGAATCTGAAAGACAATTTGCAAGTCTTCTTTACTCGAAGAAACAAGTGTTGATGTACGAGACTTTCTTTCAACGACACGTGCAAGTTCTTCTCCTCACAAAACAAAACAAAACAAAACAAAAAGGTTAACACCCGCTTCTGTTTTTTGTTTGTTTTATTTTACCAGTTTCTGCGACGAAGATTCACTTGAAAAAATACATAAAACTCAAAAGAGTTAAGACCATTATATTTAGCATCACAATTTTTTCTTAACCTACCCTCCAACCCTTACCCTGTTGAAAACTCAAAACCTTAAACGCTAGGTGGACATCAAAATGACTTTAAAGGTTTGCCCGTAAATTAAAAGGCATGTTTCTTTTTTAAATATTAAATTTAAATTTTGGATTCAACATTTAAGAAAATTTATCAAATTTTTCTTAATACACTATATCAATAAGAAAAATGTGATTTTAAAATCATTCAAAAAAAAATTAAATTCAATTAACTCAAATAAACTGATTTGAGAATACGTTTTACTCTTAAGGAAAAAATTAACATCAAAATGCTGCAATAATTTCATTCTCTCTCTATATATATACATATAGATTAGCAAGTTTATGACATCATTCTCAATCTCGTTACTTAATTATTGGTAGGTGTATTTTAAAATTTCTCAAATTTTGATACCTAAAAATTGATTCTAATTCAAATAATAATTACTAATATTTATTCATGGATTCAATTTAAGGAAATATATATATATATATATAAAAGAACAATCACGTCCAGACTCACCAAAAAGAATAAAAATATTGCAATCTGCAATTAATTTTTTCTTTTAATTCTCTATGTATTATTGTTCTCTTATATTTGTGTCAATTTCTCTCCTATACAATAAATATTGTTTTTGGATTCCTCACTCATTACTATAAATAGGAAGCAGATAAGCTATTCTCTTATTTCCCTTTAATTGTTTTGGTGATTCAGATAAGAATACTCAAAGAAAAGAAAGGAATAAAAGGATTGTGTTGTACAAGTGATGGGAAAACTCTCGTATCTTATCATCTTTAGCAATTTCGGTTGGCAAGGACGTCGAGAGAGTAAATTTGCAACCAGGGTTTACTTTGATAGCGAAGGTAGTTGGTTTTGTGTGTTTTCTTTAATACATAGACGCATAGAACCATACTGCTCATGATCAATAGTTTAAGGGGCTAACGATAGTGGTTAACAATGTAAGGAAATTGTATTATCACTGTAAAAACCGAATTGATATAATTGAAAATTTTGAGGGTTTCTATAAACTTCTTTGATTAACGATGAAGCATTGTAAGTTCAAACTCTTGAAATAGAGGTCTTGAACTTGCAAATTCCTTGTAAATGCAAGAAATCCATTATCGCTGTGCTAAAGGTCTATTGGTGTTTTGTGTGTTTTCCTAGGAACAGACAATTGATAACCAACAACCATGTAAAATATTTGTTTGGGTGCAGCTGTGAACATATGGGATTCATTTTCGAAGCAAATTATAAATTAGTTCTTTTATTTTTTAAAAAAACAAATTAAGTAGTTCTCTTTGTTTCAAAAATTAATTTTTTAGTCATCCGATTAGACTTGACCATTTTTAATTTAATATTACTTTATTTTTAAAAAAATATTATCTTTTTTTTTCATGAATCCTTCCATATTTTTTATTTTTTCTATTTCTTAAAAAAAATCAAAAGAAATAACAAATACTAGTTCAGAGTGCCTTCTTAACTTAATATTAAAACATAAATTTATTGTCTTTTCATATAGCATCCAATTTAAATGTTTGTTTATTTTTACTGAATGTTATGATATTTGGGTCAAGTTATATGTTATATTTATCACATCAAATTTAAATTAACTGAAAATTATTTAACGAATTTGAACCCAAAATTAATGCATTTGATTATCAAAAACAATATTTACTTATCCAAGAGCCCCTTTAGCAAATGCCTCGATACATCAACAAACATAGAAGTTTCAAGAGCTACTTGAGGCTACAATTATTGGTCCATAGTACTATATAAATTGATGATATTGGTCAAGTCATAATCCTGCAAAAGTATAATGGTTGCATGCAAAATGTATCCACGATATATCTTTTTGTTTAATTTTTCCATTTTGTTTGTTCCTTGTAACCATCAACATCCAATAGTGGAGTGGAGGGATGCATGACATTCATGCTTGTAAGTTTGTGTCTGGCATGGAGTGAAAAATTTATAGAAAAAAATATTGAGAGAGAAAACATTAAGAGTTGAGTGTTAAGTGTGTAAAAAAGAGTTAAGAATGTCTGGTAGGAGTTGAAAATTTGTTGATGATAATGGGTTCCAATAAAAAATAAATTTTTATTTTAATTAAACATAATTGTAAAATATATATATATATATATATATATATATATATATATATATATATATTTATGGTAAAAAAAATAAAAGTGGATGAAAAAGAAAACAAAATAAAATAATGTTAAATCCAAAAAAAAAAAAAGCAGGGAAGGTCACAAAATCCCAAAATTAACAAATATAACTTTTCACCACCTTGATCCTCCAAACCAAACATAATTAACACTTAACCCTACTTTTAGAGTTAAATGTTAATCCCCTTGAAACTTCTTCCTGGTGCAAAAGTTATATCAAATATAGACAAAGTGAGTAAAATTTACAAGTATGACTTTTCATCACCTTGATCCCCCAAACCAAACATATCCTAAGTTGTAACTCTCCTCGTTGAAGTTTAGTTGAAGTTCATACCAATTAATAAATTCTTATTTTCTTTCTAAATTGATTATTCTTGCCAATTGTTATTGTGTTGACATATATATATATATATATATTAAACGACTTTATGTTACGAGAAAATCACGAATTATATATATTTTAATGATTTTAGCTCATTTTTTGAAAATTATACGGAAAGATCACAAACTAAGCATCCGATAACAATACTAGCATAGATTTGATTTTCCGACCAAAATTTCAAGCAATGTTGACATGGCAAGTGATGAAGCTTAACAGCTAGACTTAATATGTCGCATAGGATCCACGTAAGCGAGTGATGTGAAAAATCAATTACAAAGCTTGAAAGACATGACATCCCCTATATACCCTAATTACAAAAAAAATCCTCAATCCTTAATCCTCAATTCAAATTAACCCTAACCCCTTCAAATCCCCAATTCAAAGACATGTTCTTCATTTTAATTTTTTCTTTCGATTTTTTCGGTACCTCGTTCTTCCAAAGTTTCGATTCAAAGACATGCTCTTTATTTTTACTAGATTGAATTATGATTCCGTTATTATAGATTATGCAAAGAAAATTTAGTCCTTTATTTTAACCATGTAGGTGCCCGAACTTAAGAGAAGAGCCATAAGGTTTTTCCAAACTAATTACAATGCAAATGAAAAAGAGAACTAGTGTCAGACCTTAAGAAACATTTTTAGGGTGACATTAAATACCGAGTCCATTTCATCGGCATCTCAAGTTAGATTGAATGCTTTCTTTTCTTACGGTATACCAATGACATCCGGAGTGACATTAAATACCGATTCCACTTTACTAGCATCTAGAGTTAGATTGAATGCTTTATTGTCTTACGAGTATACCAATCACAAGAACAATTATCACATGAAACCGCACATAGAATCAAAAACTAGTTTTTTTTTTTATAAAAAAAGAAAGAAACAAACAAATAGAATAAGAAAAAAATTTGCTTTTGTAGCTTCATCTAATCATCTAAACAAACTCGAAGTCAAAGAGGGATATCAAAGAGGCCCAAAAAAGACCGTCATCCAAGCAAAGATGGGTAATGACACAGAATTACTAGATGAGTTATATAACGACTTCTAAATTCCAACTTATTATAAATTATGAATTTCATCCTATTTTTCACAATGGTGAATGACCTCCAGCATTAAAAGCTTTAGACATAAAAAAAGTGAAGAAACCTAAATCGAAACATCATTTTGACGAAGGAGGATATGTGGGGATTTGTGGGAGGATCTCGTAGATTCGATTTTGGGAAAATAGGAAGGAGAAGATGAAGGAGGAAGAAGATAGGAGAAAATGAAGGAGGAAGGATCTCCGGGTAATCGATTTTACGAAAACAAAAACGAGACAAAAGAGAATAAGAAGAAAGAAATTTGAAAGAATGAGGTAATGGGAAAATTCAAAGAAAAAATTAAAATGAAGAACAAGTCTTTGAATTGGGGATGGTTAAGGTTAATTTGATTTGGGGATCGAGGATTTTTTTGTAATTGAGATATAGAAGGGACGACATGTCTTTCAAGCTTTGTAATTGATTTTTCACATCACCGTATCCTACGTGGCATATTAAATCTAACTCGTCATGCTTCATCACTTGCCATTTCGAGCATTGCTTAGAATTTTGGTCAAAAAATCAAATTTGTGCTAGTATTGTTATCGGAGGCATGATTGATAACCTTACTATATAATTTTTAAATAACGAGCTAAAATCATTAAAACATGTATAGTTCATAATTTTGTAGAACATCAAGTCATATTAAAACTAGTATTTTATGTTTTTTAGCATAATGGTTTGAAATTAAATATTAAAAAATAAAGTGTTAAAGGTGTAAAAAAGTAGTTGAAAAATGAAGTATAAAGTTTATAAAAATTATATATAATTATGGGATCCAATAGATTTTAAATTAAAATTAAAATTAACTAAAGTTAAAAAAAAATCATAAATATTATGTAATGGTGGTTGGTTTAAGAAAAAGAAACGAAAAGTTAGTTAAATTTTTCAAAGAAATAACAAAAATAATTTCTCCCATAACACTTTGTTACTCGTCCATTTCTACTTAACTTGTGTCATAACTTGTTTTTGTTAACATATCAAAATCCATCATTATTGTTGGTGATTAACATCTCAACTCACCATTACTCT